GAACTGCTTCTCGCGTCAAAAATGGCCAAGTGCTTTTTGTTAGCATGATTGAATAAATAATGATGAGACAACGCGAAAGAAACCCAATAGCTAAAACCAACTCGTCAAAGTGTCAACTGTAATACCGGCGCGCGCCACTTCCAAGGATGTCACCAGTAGAACGATTGAAGTTCTAGCAGCAAAATACATCTCCGCTTCCATACACAACGAAATGCTCAGAGGCGCCTTGCATTTTACATGTGATTTATATTTTCCGAAACCGTAAAATCCGCGGATATGGCTAGCCGAAATAGCTTTTAGCATATATAGATTTTCTGGAAAGGAACGTCACATCATTCAAGATTCGTTCACGTAATTTGGTTCCACGGTAGCGGACCATTGGCGGAGAAGATAAATCAAGTTTCCGGAATCACATTTTAACGAGGGAAAAACACGAGCAAGGAGAACAGTAAGGCGACCAAGCCCAGCCAGCTGCCGTTTAAGTGCCCCCCAGGCCAGTACAGGTCTGCGAAACACCTTATAGATGTTCAAGGATAACATATTCCAAGATGATCGAAGACTAGATGGTACCACAGATGATGTAGCATAACGACTAGTCAATTCTGTTTAAGCGATGGGCCATACGCGCAAATCCATTCGTTTACATTCACAAAGGGCGAAATTTTAGTGTTCTGGTGCTTAGCTACTATTTATTTCGCGCCGGCCTGCCAACGTTGGGCGGCATTAAAAGAAAAACACAAAATGCACGTCGAACCGCTCTCTAAACTTCGCTACTAAAGGGAGGTGTTTCGCGTATCCACCCGCTTGAATGGCCGTAACTCCGAGACGATCCTCGTCGTCCTTCTCCCAGAGTTTCTGAAAAGCGTCAGAGGTTATTATGTCCCAGGCCTTCTGAAAGCAGCCGACTTTTCACCGCGAGAGGAATTTTTCGAGCTTAGATTGATTTCGGGAACAATGCTATGGAACTTTTGGACCTAGCACCGACACTTTTTGATCTTAGAAAATGGAAGGAAGGAAGGAAGCGAAAAGGTTGCAAGAAACTTATTTTTGTGGCTACACGAAAACTGCCGCATTAAGATTTGCCTGAAAGTTTCCGTAAACGTTATATATTCCTCCGCACCTCTGTTCAAATTTTCAAGATGATCTGACCCGAAACTGCAAAGTACTCGCGTGGCCTTATTTATTGCGAGACCCTCTCTACGTGCTACTGGATAGTTTTTGCCTACCACAAAGTACGCGGTCATCGATTCATCAAGTACGTCGAGCTGCTCCATTTGTTGTTTTGTTGGTAAGGACTTTCCAAAATGGTCAATATATCGGGCCATCGAAAAATCTAACCCTCCAACCTTTGCCTCAATGGCTTTCCTGGCCTTTTCCGCGTGTTGTGGCATGCGCTCTTCAAGCAGGTTTACATCCGACGCAGGATGTTCATCGCGCTTGATCCAGAAGAAGATAATCGAGAGGTTATCATCCAATTTCGTGCGCCAACAGAGCGCAGGCTGAACCAAGAGAGTTTCGTAAATCCATCGCCTCGAACCTCCGAGCATTTCCAGCCCCACACCATGTTGCTAGTATGCCCACCATTCGCGTCAAAAAACAGGTGCGCGAACCGGCGAAAACTAAAGACTTCCTTATCCCATTCGCAATTAAAACCATTCCTTGCTGGCAAAAATGTATTCCAATGACAGCGGCGCGACTTACATTTGACTCGAAGAATCCATAAACCAGTCTTGAATCAAGTTACGCAGATGCGGGAACTGATCGGGGTGTGCAAATTTTCCCGGCCGAAAACCACGTCTAGTTCCATTTTGGTTGAGCCAGTGATAGAGCCGATAGTGGCACAGCGATTGATCTTGACTAACAGCTTTCCACTGGATAGTTAATCTTCGAAACTCAAACTGTGGCCGTATTTTAGAAAAAAAAGTTTGTTTAAAATCGAAAATTGCAGCATTTTCTCAATAGATGAGAAGTCCAGAAGAATTTTTGTGAATGTGAGTTTTCAAATTCTGCCTGACCTCATCCGGCGTTAATCGGCCAGCTGTGACGGCTTCCGGGATTTCCTGCACAGGTTGCGGTGCGATTGCATCCGCCACTATCGCACTTTCATTAATGGTATTTGGTGGGCGAATTTACTTCAATAGCTTCCAGGAAAGAGCCCAAGCGCAAACTTTTTTAGGAAAATGGATAACTTGGCTTTCCGCGGGCCTCGCCGTATTGCCAAATATCCGCCAAATCGACCTTACCGGCTTTCAAGAGCTTGTCGCGGACCTCCAGCTCTGTATTCCATTCTAGTTCGGAAAGACGAGCTGAATCTGCAAATAAAAATATGAAACAATTTTGAATGATAATTTTACCCATTTTTTATAAATATTGGATCCAAAAGTCAATTTTGAAGCTGTTAGAATGCTACAAAACGGTCTCTACTTCGTTATAGGGCTGCACTGGGGAAAATCGGCTTAATTACTTTCAGGGGAATTTGGTTTAGCTTCTTGTCTGCACGTGTCTTTTGAGCGAAGTTAAAAAACTCTCCCAACTATGTAACCCAAAGGACTATGTCTGACCCGTCAACGTGTCGATGGTTGCGCTGGAGCGCACCACTTCAAAATGTGATATTGATAACGTACATAGTATAAAGGATGTTCGGAACGTAAACATTTTGGTTTCGCCCACCACAACGTTCAATTCCCCAACAGTCAGTTTGCAACGGCCGCCTCGCATTTTTCCCCATAACGCGGATTTATATTTTCCGAAATAATAAAACGGCCGCCAGGTCCGTTTTATGATTTTCGCACACATGAATTCGGCGCGGATTATGGTTACCGTTTAAGGTTATGCTGATGTGTCTTATGGTGGTACCCTTTAAAAAGGGGTTGGAAAGTCAGAATTGTGTAGACAGGGATCGTACCCATTTTCAACAAAACGAGGACGGGCTACCAGGAAATTGATTTAGTTGCAACAAACCGCAAAGTATTTGAGAAAAACCGGATTGTTTTCGGGCGAAAGGGACTTTTTGCCCGCGCGAGGATTCAATAACTGGCAAGAATGCTAAGATTCCTATTTTTTGGCATTAGGCAAATCTTTACATTTCAAACTGCAGACCCCAAAGATCTAGTAACTGCCTTAAAATTTGTAAACTTATATTTTATCGAAATTCTGAGAACGCCATCGGCAAGCGGAGGGTCGATTGTCGATTGATTGTATTGGGTGACGGAAATTTAGGGCTCTTTATGCACGGGAACGGCTTCAGCGCGGGCCTCGAAATTGACGGGCGGAAACACGCACACTCCGAGATTCGCCACAATTATGTAGGGTAGGATAGAAATTTTCCCGATTTGCCATGCGTCCTTAAAGAGGCAAGGAAATCTGGTTCGCGCCCTGTTGATCATTGTTTAATTATTAAAATTAACCAGAGAAGCACCGAAATCGAGATATTCGGTACCCTAAAAGGCATTACTCCATGTGATCGCCGCGCACTCAAAAAATCGTTTTCGCCCCGACAACATTTCGGTTCTACTCAAAATTTTACGTTTTCGCAACGAAAAATTTTCCGGTACTTCTCAGCAGTCACCTTTCGTTTTTCATCAGTAAACTCAATCCAACCACACGCGAATTTGGACTTCCAAGCCCTTTTAATAAATAAATTGATTTAATAAATAAATTGACCAGAAAATTAAAATAAACCGGCTTCAACATTCACCATTTTGACCGGGAAAAGTGAAAAACTGCTAGTAACTAGCCAAAGCTGGGCTGCTGATTTCTTATCGAGGTTATTGATGACATAATTTATTGGGCATTAACTAAAAGAAGAATATGTAATGCACGACGTATTTTTTATCGTAAAGATGCTCCGCCCGGACGGCTCGTGCGTACCCACCGTGTTGAATAGCAGTATGGTCTTCGGTGGTTTCCGCCGATTTTGGCCAAATTTTCTGAAATGAGGCTGATGGAGGCCGCTCTCCTTTATTTATACGGAAAATTATTGTTGGTCGTAATCCTAATCCTACTATTTATAAAAAAATAGTGTCTGTGTGTGCATTTGCATGCAACTTCCGTCAGCATGTTCCAGCAGTATCTCAATAAGGGGGGGTAGTTAAGGGTGCGTAATGGCCTTGGGATGACTGCACACTAATCAAATTTTCAAAAATTTGCTGTTTTCGACGTCAAAATTGAGTTTTTCGTTGAAAAATCGAGAACCCTCTTTGTTAGGAATCAATTAGCATACGCCGGAAGTTGCGGTAACCTATATAAGGGAAGAGAGGTAGCGTTACTCATTTTTTGTCATCGAAAATCGCGAGAATCATGCAAAGTGAAGAATATCTTGGGATAAGACGGGGCCAGGGTTGAAAAGTCGCGAAGCGGCTCGCTGAAATTTTTTACGAAATATCGGCGCGAACTTTGAGCTGAAATAAGCGCCAATCGGCAAATGATTAGGTTGAACCGAAAGTCCTTGTAATCGAACTCCGGAAATTTTTTGCTAATCATTTTGTGGACCTCTACGGTGGTTTTTCATGTTTCTAGCACCAGGGATTTTTATTATTTTTGCTTTTTGGCTAAGGCTTCTCAAATTTTCGACTCTCAAATTTTCATAAGCGCCATCAAGTTACCGTAGGAATGAACCACTACCAATATAAATAGTTGTAACTACTTGTTAAATGCCGAAATATGCAGATAATGAAATCGGAACTTATTTAGAAAACTACGCGCCACAGTTTTGTTTCAGTTTGTGGTCAATCAAAATCTAAAAAAATTCTAGAGGAAAGGGTTTGAGATTCCGTGCCACGGGTCGAATAGAGAACTTCATTGGGCCTACGGCTATCGCTAAAACATTTTCCTCCTCGACCGTTTTCTGGCACGAAAGTATGAAAGAATGAAAAATATTACAAGAACTTTCGGTTCAACCTAGTACATCGATAGAGTTTGCGTTTAAACCGTTTTATTGTTTTTTTTGCGTATACCTACCACGTAATACCCCGGCATGATGTTATCATAGATGGGGAGCATGCTCGCGTCTCGCCATGATGGCTCCCGCCTTAAAGGCAACTTGCAGTAAAAACATTTGGGGGCTATATTGGAGGAAATACGGCAGGTACAAACAAAAAAATGAATGCTGTTTCAAATCCCAACCCCGGCTTCCATAAATCTTACGACCCAGCCCTATAGAAAAGCTCTGCGTCTCCCATCTTCTTGTATAACGGAACACGTTCCTCGGCTAACGTCACATTGGGCGTGGGGAACTTGTCGCGTTGGAAAAAGACGAAGAGGACGCACAGATCGCTCACTCTCATCTCCTGGCAGAATGCCGGCTTAACTAACGATTTTTGCGAATTGCCAATCTCAAACCAACCTCCAAACATTTCCAGCCCCAAACCATACCACTATTTTTGTTGCTATCTTCGCAGTATATTATTTGCGCATATCGTCGATACCTGAGATTGCGGGGTTATTTTTAAAGCGTGTTGCTCGACCGGATCCGGAGAGTTTTCAATCTACAGAGCCATCCCAAAAACCAAAGGCACCTTCAGAACCGGAAGTCAAAGGTCGGATTTTCGATATCATGTGAAAGCGTTTCAAGGCGACCTTTTAAAGTCTCGGCGGGCGCGCCGCTATCTTGTGCGGAAATTGTTGCTGCTTCCCAAAATGTTTTCAAAAAATCGACGGCCTCTAGCGGTCCATAGAAATATCGGATCGGGACGATTTTTGTACGATTCAAAAGCCCTCGGAACGGCGAGAAAAAAGCCATTTTTGTTTTGCAAAATTTTTCAACCCGCGCACGATAGTAAACGATTTCTGAAAAAAAAACGTAAGATCAATGCCGTCCGGTTAGATTGAGGCAGCAATTTGACAAGCGGATTTAGCACAAAATCGGCAGCTTTCTTGGATTTTGGTGCTAAAATGCGTTAATCTGAAAAATCGAAAAGTGATTAACTTCGCTCAAATGCTTTGTAACTTTTGAATCCGAACTACCTTGCCGTTTTTAAAACAAGGCTAGCGATCAGCAAAAAATCTACACAGAATAGGCCGGTGCCATTTTGAAATTTCGCTTTAGGTTTAGAAGGCTCCCTTGTTAGGGCGGCGAGTTTGCTTGCTTCCTCACCTCCACCCAGTGTTGTTATCTGGCGTCCGGGTCCGGATACCCGGTTGCGGCCCCGGTCGACCAATTACCCGGTCGGACCCGCTCGCACCAACTACCCGTTCGCAACCGGGTACCCGGACCCGGACGCCAGATAAAACGGTAGAACGCCAGAAAGTCTACTAAGAGAATTATTTTCAGGACGAAAAATGTTATACAAAAGTTTCATAGCATAAAAAGTTGGTTGCAAAACTATGGGCAGCAAACATAATAACGTACTTTATGAAGTTCATACGTAACGTATGAATTTTTACTTTACGTACTATGGGGAGAACGTAATTTCGGAATTTGGGTATTTTCATCATTTTGAAAATGCCGTTCGATAGAGGTTGCGTGTGCGAATGACTCACTCAAGGCTTGACGCGTCGATCCAACTCTGAACGGATTCTTGCAGTTGCCCGGCTTGGCCCGGCTTTACATAGCCGTCACTTCCATTTGCTTTGCGAAAGCTCTCGAGCGCGTTCTCGTATCGGAACAGGTCGCTTTGCACAGCGGCCCACTAAAAAATGGAACAGACTTTTGACACCTCCAGCCGGCACTTCCTAAAATGTTTTCGCTATAGCTTTTTTATAATAAATTTATTTGCGCTTTAATCAAAACCTTAACCAAGCTTATTTTTGATGCTCTAGCGAATGGCGGAGCAAAAACCCCCGAAAAAATAGCGAATATGTCGAAAAATCAAAATTTGCAGGAACAAACATCACGGGAAATACACGACGAATTCGTACTTCGGGGAGACTTATAGGTCTCCTGTTGTATTTTTTGGAAATCGTGCTCACCTCCGCTTTGGTTATCCTTCCTAGGTCTACTGCACCGGGCTCGTAATGAAATTGTAGTTTTGCACTGACCACTAAAAATTTTGTATATGGGTCCCAAAAAATCGATTCTTCCAGCATTTTCCACGAATTTTCGCACAAAAATTCATGAAAACACGAATTTTATGCAATGTTAATTGGTTGCTCAAGCCTGGAGGACGACGCTAGTTTTACGCTTTTCTAAGAAACCAGCCGCTGCCAGCGGCTGGATTTCGCGCTACCCCCTCCGTTTCCCCCACTCGTTTTATTAAGGCGCCACTTCCAAAGTTAATTTTTTTTATCTTTATCTCATTTTTATTTTATATTTTTATCAGCTAAGGGGTTTCTGATCACGCTCTGTCCGAATCCGAAGAGACCCATGCCCTAGCTCCTTTGCCCTTCGAGTTATAGTTGGCTTCTGACAGACAGACAGACGGACGGACAGAGCCCACTACTGAATTCTTATACAGGGTGGCTGAAAAGTTCCCGCAATTTCTTGATACTGCTAAATCGACTGGAAATTCCTAAAATTCTTATGAGGGAGAGAACTTATGGTAACTAATAGTTTAATTAAGACGTAAAGAACAAATTGCGAAACAAAAATAAACAATAAATCTTCACAGCTTCCCCCAGACGCTTCGATACAAATGCGCATACACCTTGAAAAGTTATCTCCTATGGTCGCGCCCTCTGCCGCAATAACCAAGGCCTAGCACTTTCCAGGGCTGTTTTAAGGAGATTCACTGTAGTGGACCGTTTTTCTGAGCTCTTTTGCTACAAAATGGTCGAAACCGAAAGATCAAAAAAAATTGAATCCACTGAGTTGGAGGCCCAAACATCAAAGCCGCAAAAACCCGATTGCAACTTTCCCCAGAGGGTGATAGTTGAACGGGCCGAAAAACCTGGTGTCCAGTCTTGATTTAGCGTGAAAACGTTTTAACTAAAAGATTGCTTAATTCATGGCTCTGAAACAATCCTAAGGGCTTGATATTAATGCTCGGTGACTTCGATTTTTACATTTTTTTGAACGAAAACGGTTTAAGGGTTGCTGGGGCTCTAGATTCCTACTCAAATCATCAAAGTTCTCGGAAAACGGGAATGATAGACCAAGACTCCTCTATTAACTGTTTTTGAAGAGTTTACGATGATTTTGCCCGTTCCGGCTCGATTCTATAGCCAAAACATTGACGCCTCCTTGCTAACCGGGAGGGCGCGACCATGGCCGGCAATTTCCATGGCTGCCTGCGCGCTTCTACTCAGCTACTGGTGGAATTCGTGAACATTTCTTGCGGATTTTTGTGTTGTAATCTGTTGATTACGGAGTAAATAAAGTTTATGTTGCCTTACCTCAGCCAATTTTTAGGAAATTTCGGTCTATTGACCTGCTAGAAGAAATTGCGGGAACTTTTCAGCCACCCTGTAGTTGTGCTCGTTTACTGTCGCGCGCGGGCTAAAAAAGTTTGTAAAATAAAAAGCGCCTTTTTCGCGTGTTTCGAGAGCTTTTGAACGGTGCAAATTTCGTCCTGAGCCGAGCTTTCTCCGGACCGCAAAAGCGGTCCATTTTCTTGGGATTCCGAAAAAAGACCATCATGTTTAGGGGATCAAAAATAAAACAAACTGGACCTGGACCGCCAGGACCAAGCGATGGCGCGATTTGCAGAAACAGCAGTGCATAGGCAATTTTTGAAGGTAGCATTCCCACCTTCGCCCAATGAAATACGAATTCCCCGGCGGTGTACGATATTTTCAAGTCACAACCGATTTACATTTACCCAAATAAATAACAAATATATTGCGGAGCCGCGCCGTACAATTTTCACATATAAATCCACTGATAATTTTCGGCTTTGCATTTACCCAAATAAAAACGTTTCAAGCCACACAAGGTTCCCAGGTATAAATTTATCAAAGTGCGGCCGCACACCGTAGCACCGTTATTTATGGCAGCTGGATGGATCTTCAGCTGCAGCGTAGCATGGCGGGTCGTCCGCGGAAACAGCGCCTGACAGTGTATAGCTTTAACTAAACACCGCAAGATCGCGCCCCACGCGCTCCATTGCGCCGGAAAAATGTAATAATTGTGCAGTCTGGTCTATCAATCGGTCTATTATTTCTTTAACTTTCGTCCAATTCTAGTGGTTTCTTAATTTAGTTCTAAAAATCAACCTGTATCGTTTCGCAAAAATGAAAAACGGCAGTTGGCGCAGTTTTCAAAGCGCTTTCGAATGGGCTAGGTATCGTACCATATAAGCAGGCCCGTCCGGGGAGGCCACCGGCCCCACCCCCCGATATCGGGCGGGGTCCGAAAAGTTCATAAGGGGGACCCTTATGATTTTTTATAAATTTTTTTTCTGCCTGCGGCGCTGTTTATCAGGTTGGTAGATAAGTCCTGTCACAACTTTTTGAAAACGCCCTAGAAAGCCGTAGAAGCGTCGGATTTTCACTTTCGATACATGATTTGATAGATCTTGGGATGCGCTACTTGGGCAAAACCCGATTTGGTCCACAAAGTGGCTCGCCGTCAAATTACAGCTCCGGGAAGTTTTTGATAAAATCTTGTGAAAGCTATTTAGCGTGCTATCACTGCATAGAGCTATTTGAATACGATACCATTAACGCCAATCGATAGCTCTCGGGGAGTAGATATCGATAGATCTTGAGATCATCGCAATCGGACAGCGGATGGCCGAGATACGGGCCCTTCAAATTTGGTCCATTTATTAGAACTTTTTCCGAATTCCCATACATTTAGACAAAATCTTCTCCGTGCGCTCAAAAACCACCTGGCAAGATTTGTCACAGATGCGTAAAATGTATGGGATTTCGGGAAAAGTTCTAAGAAATCAACCAAATTTCAAGGACCCGTATCGCGGCCATCCGGTGTCCAATTTTGACGATCTCAACATCTATCGATATCTACTCCTCGAGAGCTATCGATTGGTGTTGAAGGTATCGCATGCAAATTTCTCTATGCCGAGATAACACGCTAAAAAGCTTTTTCAAAATTTTGTGAAAAACTTCCCCGAGCTGTAACTCGGCGTCTTGTAACTTTTTGGCCTTGTGCGGCAGCCCCCATTAAAGAGCAGCCCAAGACCTATCAAATCAGGTATCAAACGTTAAAATCGGCCATGTCTGCGGCTATATAGAGAGATTTAAAAATTTGTGACAGGACTTATCTACCAACCTGATATTATTGTTTTCGAAACGATTGATTTGAAATTTATTGCATTTTATTTGAAATGAAACATATTTTTCCAAAATTGGCCTGCGACGCCTTTTCTGTGAGGTTTTCATACCAATTTGAGCGCAACGAAAGCGTTTTTATGCACTTTTTTGTGTTATAGAAGCGATTTTCGAATGTTCTGAAAGTGGTGACCGGGGAGAGGTCGTCGCCAAAATTTTTGGGTGCCCCCGGCCCCCCGAAATCTCGGGTCAGTTACGGGCCTGGCCGCCAAACAGGCCAAAATCTGACAGCCACAATACCGAAAGCCAAAATCCCGACATACAATTTGGCTGTCGGGTTTTGACTGTCCGGCTGGAATTAGCTTTGTTAGCCTGCCAACTGTTTGATGCCAACTGTCTTCGGTTTAATCGCGGTACTAACTAAAGCAAGCAAGTCGAACTCGCTCTACATAACATTCAATGGTGAATATCACTGTTATGGGCTAGTGCTGCTGTTCGCTCCATTGTGTTGCAGTCGACATTTAATAGCATAATTTATCTGCGGTTCAGCAATGTGCCGCTAGAAAAAGAAGCGATACTCCACTTCGTAATTTCGATCATATTGCTTATCATCCTTGCAGTACAGTGCATGCCCGGTCTCTTGCGCAGCAGAAAAACCAGCATCGCCGTGACGGTGTATATGCTGCAAGAACGTAAAACATCGTGTACGTTCGAGGGGGGGGGGGTCTGGCTTGTTGAAAATGCGAAAATAAGGATCGTCAAAAAATACTTGGTTTGAGACCGGTCTTAGAGGTTTAAGCTTGTGACTATGCGCTTGCGAAATATTTCGTCACCAGTGGAAAAAGACCGCTTCGCGGCCATTTTCCACTGGACCCCGTCCAGGAACCATGCATTTGAATACATCCTTTTTTAGCCTGCGGCGCTAGAGCCTGAGTCAAGGAGCCATTCTTTGGCCTGCGGCGCCAGAGCCAGCATTGTGCTAGAATCTTTGAGCCTGCGGCGCTAGCTATTGGTTTTTCTCCAGGATCTGGCCTGCGGCGCGAGAGCCCGAGCCAGGGGCCTTTTATTTGGCCTGCGGCGCTAGGGCGAAGGCAGGCTTAAACCTCGCACACCGAGAGCCTAGAAATATGTTTTGTTACCTAACTACCAAAAAGCAAAAGTTAAATTCTCACAGGATCCGAACTCACGACGACGCGCTGTAGACCGAGAGCTAATCCACTACACGAAGGGGCACTTGGGAAGAGGCGGCGGGAAAGGCGGCGGCGGCGGCGGCGGGGGCGGCAAAGATAAGGGTGACCAATGATCCCGGAGGGAGGCCTTGACCCGGAGGGAGCAATGATCCCACTTTACAAAATTCGATTATTTTAGTGTCAATCTGTGGAAAGTTTTTCAAGATAATAAGATGCGCATGATCCCCACCCTTGATTGCATAAACGGTCCAAATTTCAGCCCGAAATTCCATCAGGGCGTCGAGTTATGGCCTGGAAACCACGGCCCGTGACGCGATTTATTAGACCTTTCAGAAAAATCCTTATAAAAACTTTATTTTGAAGAATTTTGCAAAATCGGAAAAAAAGTATCTAAGGAATTACTTTTCCCATATACCCTCCAAAAATGAAGGTCCAATTCCCTCTAGGGGCCGAGAAAAGTTCCGGACAACGTGCGCACCCAAAAATGTTAAGGATTTTTCACATTTTTGCTTGTGAAATCGTTAAATGAAAGAATTTCGAAAAATCCAAAAAAACCGTTTTTATGAGTGACATTTCCCACCTCCATGCCAAAAATCAGCTCGAAACTCGGCCTGACGGCCGAGAAATGGCCGTACAGAAAACACACATACATCCATACACATACAAAAAACGACCCATCTGGCATTTCGCCGTGTTACATCCAATCGGTCCCGAATTAGGCACAACGGTGTATCTGACCCTAAATAACAACAATCCTGAGTTATAGCCCGATCGCTACAGTAGTTTTCGAGTTATCGCCAAAATACTGTTTTTCACGCAATTCAAAAGAGTTTTTTCGGCAATCGTTTTGGACTTTGCATAGATTTGCATCGACTTCCGGCTGTGAATCCCTAATTTCGCTTAAGAACTGGGGTGATTTTGCGTTGTAAATATCGCTTAAATCAAAGCTGATTTAATTTAATTAATTTTACCCTGAAAAAAAATTTCTTAAGGTAAAGAAGGACTACCGGATGATTTTCACTTAATGTTTAGGGGGTCTAATTCCACGAAAACTCTATGAAAAATGGAAAATAAAGTTTGTTTTCGCTATAACTCGAGAACTACATAGCTACAGGGCTATAAGTCAGGATTGTTGTTATTTAGGATACGGTACACCTCTGGTCCAAATTTGGGGCCGATTGGATGAACACGGCGAAATGCCAGATGGGTAGTTTTTTTTGGGACACCCTGTACTTTTCTCGCTTATAGGGTAGGATAAAGCCCATATTTTTCCGAGTCAAACCTGCCACATAAGACTTCACCAATATTTTTGACGTTTTTTTATGGGACATTGAAGCTAGGGCATTCTTACATTTTTAAAACGCTAAGATGGGTTGTAACTTTTCAAAAATTCTGGCCATTGGCTTGGTAAAGGCAAGGTCGCGTTTGCAAAGTTCGCAGCCGCAAAAGCGGGCACCATGCGGCATCCCTAAAGAATACCCTTTGCGTCAATACCTACCACGAAATAATTGGGCACAAATTCGTCAAGAGTGTCCAGTCTCATCAAATCGCCATTTTGTGGCTTTCGACTGAAATCGAGCATTTACTGGCCTCCCAAAAATCTTCACTTTTCCGTCCGCAACCAAATTTCAGCGGTGGTCCTTTGGTGGATTCGGTAACTTTGTTCGTGCACTAACGTGGCGTTAGGCCCAGGGTGCGTCTCCCCCTTTATAAAATAGAAGACGACGCATATATTCTGCTCGTAGTTCTTTCTGACCTCCCAACAGAGTGCCGGCTGAAAGAATCATTGCCAATCGCCAGTCGCCAACCTCCAAGCATCTCCAGCCCCAAATCACGTCGTCGCTACGATCGCAGACCCACACGTGCGCGTAACGTCGCCACCTGAGTTTTGGCTTTTTGCTTCGATATTCTTTGTATTTATCAATAGCATCAATTTACTCGCTGAAAGGTTCGATACGTGGTCCGGAAAATTGGTCGGGAAGCATGTGGAATTGACAGAACACATCGTTTTCCTCTTAAATCGGGCCTCGAAAGTGACATCCACACTCACACACAGACTTACACCCCAAACTTATATAAGGTAGGATCATAAACACCTCTCATCCAATTTTGGGATGGAAGGCGTCGAAATGACGGATGGGTCGTTTCTGGGACAGCCTGTATATATGAGTTACACTTGCTTCCCGAACCATTTTCCGGGGAGGTGGTGCAGTTCCCCTGCTAACCGGGACAAGCCGCAATCGATCAATCATCGAGCAAAACCCCACTCCTTGCTTGAAGCCTCTAGCCAATCGAAGATCGCACGTGTGAGCTGCTTGATTTGGTTGGTTTCAATACAGTTGCCATTAGGTCCGGAGCGGAACTTGCCCTTGTTTATGCGCCACTGTTCGAGTAGCGCTTCGTAGCGTTGCAAATCATGGTACACGGTCCACCACTTAAAAACCGATAAGACCGTAAGGAGCGTTGCTAATCAATGGATAAATCCTAGCGCTAAAGCGGTGCTAAAAGGTCTCGCTATTGACCACGATATTTTTCATTCCAACTAAAAAATTACGTCATCTCCAGTGAGTTTCCCCAAGTGGACTGCTGCTGGAGTGTAACCATATGGTGGCGTCAAGTCAATGGGTCCTAGAAAATATACATATGCCTGATGTTTGCGATGTTAAGCGCATTGTCGATGGATAGGTCTCAATATCGATCTCACCGACAAGGAGACTTTTGAGTGACATCCCGGTTTTAAGCATGACCAAGCCTATCTTGTGCAGAATTTTGCGCTGATCCCGAATCTGTTTTCCAAATTTGCTTACTCGGCATTTTGAAAAAGTTACAGCGCATTTTAGGGTGAGAATGAGCTATCATACGCTCGTTCGAAAGAGCATCTTTTTCTGCACAAGAGGTGCTAATTACTTTCGACAAAATATTTTCTCTCAAATTTTCCAGGGCTCTAACCTTTGCGATTTTGAACATTTTCACCCTAAAATGCGCTGTAACTTTTTGAAAATGACGATTAAGCAAATTTGGCAAAACATATTCGGAATCAGCGCAAAATTCTGCACAAGATAGACGTGGTCATGCTCAAAACCGGGATGTCACTCAAAAAAGTCTCCTTGTGAGAGAGCGGATCGACATGGCGTGAAGTTTTAGAACATACTTGCACGACACCGGGACCCGCCCTAATCCCCAAAAACCGCGCTCACTTTTATCGTTCATCTTTGAGCGTCCCGCTGCATCGGCCCGCACTTTGGCACCGGAAAGGCTCTCAGAAACTGCAAAGAAAAAATACATTGAGGGCGATTGAAGCGTGACAAGGTGATTTCGACTATCTTTTGGGCCACAATTCGCGTGTGCGCCGTCATTCAGCGCATACGCCGAAAGAACGTGAATGGTATTTGGTAGTCAAATCTCTTGGCGGGGTCGAATACAGGGTGCCCCAAAAAAGCAGCACCCCTCCGGCGTTACGCCGTATTCCCTACGATTGGTCCCAAAATTGTACCAGAGGTGTATCAGACCCTAAATAACCACTATTCTGTGTGATAGACCGATCGCTACCGTGGTTCTCAAGTTATGGCCCAAATATATTGTTTTCTATGTGATTTTTTCACAGTTTTTTCGGCTATCTTTTTGGACTTTGGATCGATTGGCATTGACTTCCGGCTCGGAATCCCGCATTTCGCTTAAAGCCCAGGTTGATTGTTTCTTGTAAAAGCCGTGTTTTAGAAAAATTTGCAGTCCGCGCACGATTTCTCAAAAAAAAGTAAAATCAGCGTCGTCCTGTCAGTTTACATGCGGGTTTTCCACAAAAGTCTGCAGTTTGCGTGAATTTTGGCCCTAATATTCGTGAATCCAATGTCTATATTAAAAGACGAAAAGTGCTGGTTTTCCCGCCTTTCGAGCGCTCTCGATAGATACTTAAATCGTCAAAACCGAGCATTTCTACGGTCAGCTATGGGCTAAACCCTCCAACTGTGCTTACCGGCTTCGTTCAGCTTGTCACGTACCGCCTGGTCGACAGGTAGTTTATCGGTTGAGTTGCCATCTGAAATCGAAAATCGTTACATAGCAGGCGATCCATGCTTGAGAAAATAATTTTAGCTAGCTCCAGTGCCGCAATTCGCATTGAGAAGCCTGCATCGGCGGGAGAAATGCAAATGTACCGGATGCGCCAAAAGATCTATTTTTGGTTGACCGCATTCCATACGACCGCCTTTCAATACGCCGCATGCCATTTCACCGCTTTTACATTTCATCGCATTTTCGACAGCATTTGCATTTACGGCGTTTTCAGAAGCCGATAAAATCTTTATTGGTTATAAGGTAAGAAATTGCGCGATAAGAAATGCCGCTGCTGTGTTAGGAATGAATACAGTTTTTGTTCGCGCTACAAAAGATCTCATACTGTACACCGAATCAGGGCCGTTGCCTGATAAACCGCGGCAAAATAAAAATGCGATGGAACGAAACAGCCGATTGTAGCAGCAATAGCCCATAGAAAATTTTCGGAAATCATCCGCACCTGTCCCCAACACAGGACGGTTTTCGTTTGAAAGCCAATTTGCGCGTATAACCTAAGCCCCCAAATTGTGCTTACCTGTTTCGTTCAGCTGGTCAGGTTCCGTCAGGTCGAAAAGTTGTTTAGCGGTTAATTGGCGACCTGCAATTGAAAAACTTTACATAGCAGGCGATCAATGCTTGAGAAAGCTCCAACCATTAGCATTGAAAAGCCTGCCGCGGCGGGAGAAATGCAAATGTACCGGATGTGCCAAAAACATACATTTTTGGTTGACCGCATTCCATAACACTGCATTTCAATACGACGGCATTTTCATTTCACCGCATCATTTCGCGCATTTTCAGAAGGCATTAACGGCCTAATTGGTTATTGAGTTCGAACCTTTTTGTGGCACGGTTGTTTTAGAAATGAATAAAATTGATTTTTGCGCCACAAAAAAATGTAGATATTAATGTAGTCATACTGTATATGCAATCAATGCCTTATCACCTATAAAAATGCGGTAAGCTGAAAATGAGGTCTAATGAAAATGTGGTGAATTAAAAGGGCGATGAAGTGGAATGTGGTGTACTGAAATGCCGTGTTATGGAATGCGATGTAGTCCTAGGAATTTTCCAAAAACACCCCTCCGACGGTGGCTCTGACCGCAATCGGTCCCAAAAATTAGCCTACAGAGAGCGCCAAATTTGGACAATACTCAGCTACAGTGCGAACGGTAAGGTGGTTCTCCGGCAACCACAAAAGAATTCGGCTGAGGACCATGTGGTCTTGGAGGCGTTTAATTTGAAGTATCTTCTTTTTTGAGGATTTAAACTAAGACACCCTTTCATGAAATTAATCAATGTTGCCCGAGAGATCATGCTTGCGTTTAATAATGGCTCAACGGCCCATCCCCACTTATTTAAAACCTCGACTAGAATACCTAATCTAAGTAAACCTAATGATACATATCGATTCGGTGTGGTGAAGAAACTAGAACGGACTTGAGAACGAATCAGCGGCTTTGACCACACCAGTAGATGGCGCGACAACCAATTGCAGGAGCAATAACCCATAGAAAATTTTTGGCGAAATCATTCACACCTGCCTCCAACGATGGACGGGTTCACCATGGCGTGCGGCCATTTAAATTCACAGCCGATTTGCATTCACCCAAATAAAAAATATTTTACAGGGCTGCTCCGTACAATTTTTACATGCGAATTCATCCAAATGTCTGTCCAAACGTCATAAATTTGTGATTTATTGCCATTTGCTCGGTGTTCGGTTTGGCGATGGCATCACGTGTTTTGGCAAAGCTCAAAGTTTGGGCTATCTGCAACGTTTATCACGAAATTGAGAGGTTTCATATGGCTTAAACGAAATACCGCAAGATCACGCCCCTCGCGCTCCATTGTGCCTCTATCAATTGGTCCAATTCTAGCCCAATTCTGGTGATTCTTTAATTTAATTCTGCATCATGTGGCAAGGATGAAAAATGGCAGCTTACTCAGTTTTCGACGCGCTTTTGAATGGACTAGGTCTCGTACACTATAAGTAACTGGAAAAAATGCAATAAGTATGTTTTAATTTTATTTTACTTGTCTTTGCTAAATCGTGCCCACCTCTAAAACGTGGCCCAGGGTATAGTACCCCCCAAAAAGCCAATTTCGGGCTATTATTTTCAACGCCAGTAAGAACGTCTGCCTGTGAGTTTCTTGAGGGGTAATGCTTCCGAAAGATTTTATTTTTTGTTTGTAACTGAATGCGTTAAGACATATGCGTTAGAGCCTTTGACCATCAAAGGCAAAATCAACCGTTCGCGAAGACTAGCTGTTGATTCATTGCAATGGTATATTCTTGACATATTTATCAAATGGTGGCTGATATGGATGAAAAAGGGTGTCCCAAAAAATCGACCCGCTAGCGGTCCACAGAAAGCTCGGATCGGGATGATTTTACACCATTCGAAAACTCTTGAACCGGCGGGAGAAAAAGAGGTTTGTGTGTTACAAACCCCTTTAGCCCGCGCTCGGTATTAAGCAATGTCTTAAAAAAGTGTAAAATCGTCCTGTTAACGTGAATGCGGATTTTCGATAAAATCTGAATTTTCACGGATTTTGGTTCGAAAATTTGTGAATTAAAATGTCTACATTGACAAAACGAAGAGTGCTTGATGTCTCCCCTTTCCGAGAGCTTTCGATAAAATCGGAGACTTCTGCGGCCCGCTAGATGGGGTCGATTTTTTGGGACAACCCGTATGTCTGGTTTCAGCTAAAAGAAGAAGACGTAATAGATGACCCAACGCTCATCATAAACTTGCTCCGTATACGCGTGTCTTGCGTATCCGCCGTCTCCAATAACAGTGAGACCTTGACGCTCTCCCCCGTCACTTTTTGGCCATGCTTTCTGAAATGGCGGCGAAGGCTAAGCGTTTCCTTTATTAGGCCGTAAAATTTACTTTTCTCCTAGCTTTCGTCATGCAAATACGTATAAGCAAGCAAATACGCCGTTAGTTTTTCGCGATGGTGAAACAAAAAATCGGCGCAAATTTTAGCAGAATTGGGCGCACATCGGCAAAATACATTAGACGCGTTCGAATTGCACCCTGTTATTGCTATTTCGCGTGAACCTACCACGTAATACGCAGGCATAAACTCGTTGACGATGTCGAGCCGCAACAAGTCTCCCCATGATGGCTTCCGCCTAGAGCACAGCGTACATCTTACGAATATATACAAAAATACTGCCTGTATGCAAGTGCTACGATGAATTGGCTCGCGTTTGCCATAACTTTACTTGATAACCTATCTATGACTCAATTCTCAATCTACGACTTTTTAGGAAGTAGCAATCTACGCCTAGTTAGAGTAAGGTCCATTCCGATTAAAAGGTAAAAAAAGGTGAGCGGTTAAAGGGTCCCGGAAGACAAAATTCGCGCCTGGGGGATTGGATCTACGGGTCAAAAATGACAGGATCTCTGCTAAGAAGTGCCAGAAAAATGGTGTCGTTGCGAAGAACCGTTAAATATTTGGGTAAGGTCGAAACACTTTAGGAGCGAAACCACTTTTTGAGAGCGCGGCGATTACATGTCGTAATACCCTGTAAGGCACCCAACCTCTGGATCTCGGCGATTCTCTGATCCATTTTCCTATTAAAAAGTCCGTAAGGATCAAAATTCGGTGAGCATTGCAGAAATAGTCTTAGAATTTTTAAATGTAAGCGTTTTTAGGTCGAAACGCATGGGCGCGGTCGCGTTGCGGTACGACTTGGTTATTTGCCAGAAATCAACACAGGGGACAGTGGACCAGATTTCGGAGCCCCTTTAAAGGATTGCAAAGGTATACGTAGCCGCGACGCGATTTGCCGAACCGGCTCCTCAAAAACCTTACAATTGAGCCCTCCAAAAAAGCTCATCTTGGGCAAATTTCGTGATGTCGGGAAGGCGTTCCTCGATTAGTGTGACGTTGCGCGTGGGGAATTTTTCTCGTTTTAAGAAGATGAAGAGGATGCACATGTCCTGCTCAGCGTTTGCTTTCATATGCCAACAGAGTGCTCTCTTAAAAAAAACTGTTGCACCGTGATTCTCCAACCAACCTCGAGGCATCCCCAGCCCCAAGCCATGTTGTGAGTGTGAACGCCATCTATACAGTAGAATATTTGCGCAAACCGTCGCCACCTAAAATTGATAGATACTTCCGGCCTATGCTAATTGTTCCCTAACAAAAGCGTGTCCGATCTTTTTCGAAAAACTTAATTTTAATATCGAAAATCGCATTTTTTTGACAAGTCTGATGTGTGAGGTCATCTCGTGATCATTACGCACCTAATGACGTATTATACATGCCTTAAAAATCGTCCCCGATCGATGTATTCCCCGGATATACCGACGGAGGCACCCTGCAAATGCCGACACACAGACACTATCCTATCCTATAAGCGAGAAAAGTATGTTTGTTTTCTGTACAGCCGATTTCTCGGCCGTCAAGCGGAATTTCCGGCTGATTTTTGGCATGGAGGTGGAGAAACACATTTGTCAGTGACGCATTTTTTTGTTTTGCGAAATTCCTTCATTTAACGGTTTTACAAGCAAAATAGTGAAAAATCCTTAACAGCTTGGCCGAAAAAAGGTTTGTTCAGAGAATATCTCCGGAGCCAAATGGAAATAGGCGCTAATTTTTGGAGGGCAGATTGAAAATTACATGCTCCTGTGATATAATTCTGGGGTTTGGCAGATTTTGTAAAGTAAAGTATTTATGGGCATTTTTCTAAAAAGTCCTTAACAAAATGGGGGTATAGCCGTGGTGTCCGGGCATAACTCGAAGCCCAGATGGAATGTCGGACTAAAATTTGGACCACTTATGTAATCGATGGTGCTTCTTAGGCGCAGCTTATTAGATTTTACAAATTCGATCATCTTCCACCTCAAAAATCGACTTTTGTAAATTGGCTAGACGACGCCCAACCGGGTCCCCAGGGGATGAAGAGGCCCATCCCGCATCGCACTCCCAACTCCCTGTGGTGTAAGGGAAGCGCTCCAGCTCCACGGTGCTAGGGTTCAAGGGTTCGGATCCTGCGCGATGACTACTTTTTGCTTTTTGGTAATTCTTCAAACAAACATATTGCTTGGCTCTCCGTATGGGAGATTTAGGTCTGGCCCTCGCTCTAGCGCCGCAGGCCAAAGGAAAGGTCCTTGGCTCGGACTCTCCCGCCGCAGGTCAAATTCTGGAGGAAACCAGTAAATAGCGCCGCAGGCTCAAAGATTCTGGCTACGTTGGCTCTGGCGGGGCAGGCCATGGATGGTTCCTTGCCCCAGATCAGCTAAATCCGGGGGAACGTAGTAGCTGGCGCCGCAGGCTCAAAGGTTGGAGCGCAACGCTGGCTCTTGCGCCGCCGGCCAAAGAATGGTTCCTTGACTCAGGCTCTTGCGCCGCAGGCTTCAAACAAAGGAAAGAGAATTCATGAGTCCTAGACGGGGTCCAGTGGAAAAGGGCCGCGAAGCGGACTTTTTCCACTGGTTTTTATATATAGTAGGATATTTATGGTCATTTCGTCTTGAATTTTATTTCGTCTGCCAACCCTTATATCCGACTTATATGCGTAATATTACTCTGCCCAAATTGGGTCTGAGCGCGAACGATCAGTCCGTGGTATGGTAAAACATTGGACTGAACCCCTCCCGGCCGATAACGGCGTCAAATGACGCACTCCTTGCTTGACGCGTCGATCCAGGTCTGTACGGATTCTTGCAGTTGTGGGCCTTGCTGCGGTTCTATCGTTCCGCCACTTCCATTTGCTATGCGCCAACGTTCGAGCGCTCCCTCGTATCGGAAGAGATCGCCTTGCACAGAGGCCCACTGAAAATGCATTGAAAAAGGTGCTCAGGATTGTTAACGCTGTATGCGTGGTTATGTTGCTATGTGAGCAGAGGGTCCGGATATAATATGAAATATATAAAATATATAAAAATATAATTTTACAAAAATACAATTTTCGCTATTAAATTTGGGTTTTTGTAAAAACCTCCGTCATCCTCTTTGTTGGGAAACATTTAGGCGCGAACCTGGTAACTAAATAAAAAGCTACAAAAATTGATCAACCGATCACTGTAGGAACACACCTATGGTAAAAAATTCAAATGCGCACACCAGGTGCTGAATTTTTAATTGCTAAACTTTTTAGTTTCACATGACTTCTCCCTGCTAAACTAAAGGGCCTTTCGTTCAAATAGCACTTACCTCCTCTTTGGTTAGCCTCCCGATGTCCACTGCGCCTGGTTCGTAATGATATGGTGGTTTCAAGGCACTCGCACTAGCCACTAAAAATCCTCCATGTATTCCGAGCATTTTCTATTTTGAGAAAAAGAAAAATTCATTTTCTCTGAGGATTCGCGGTGAAAGTATTCCTGGCGGTCGTACCTAGTAATCAAATATAAAGTGTTTTGACATTGCTGTTAGTAAGTTCTAACTATGTTTAAAGCAGTCAAACTTTTAAAAAAATTAGACAAATATTTTAAAAAATTCGAAAATTCGGTCATTTTGGGTCTTTCCCTCCCCCGCGAATCCTAAAGGTTCTATAGGATTTTGCGACCTAAAATTTAATTTGTTGATGAAAATTTGTGTAGTTTTTATAATTAGGAATAGTTAAAAACAATTTAGAAAGCGTCCATTATTTATAAAAAAACTTCGGCTTGAGCTGAAAAAAATTGTTCCCCCCGCGGAATCCTAAAGAACGCAAATTTGTGTACGTGTATTGTGGCAGACTGCCCAATCGATCTTTACCAGCATTGTTGAGGTCCTGGCGGACGGCCTGGTCGACAGGTAGTTGGCCGGCTGAAAGAGCATATGAAATTAGAGCTAGACTTTACTTTGCCCCCCCCCCCTCCCGAACTAAAATTTTTGGAGCTTCTGGGGGCAGGTAAAGTATAGTCAAACCGAAATTAGAAAATATCGGTGCTGTCCAGTTAGGTACAAAATTTGCAGCAGCGTCACGCTAAAGTAACTAAGTGTCTGCAGAAGTGTCTGTTCAGAACGATCCTGGCGAAGAATTATTTGGACTCCCCTACTAATAGTAAGAGAAAAAACAAACCAGCGGATTCAGCCGCATTAAACATCGGCGCGTTTTGAAGAAATAATAGTGCATAAGCAATTTTTGAGGCCAACATTCCCACCTTCACCCAACCAAATGCGTCCTGACGGCTGCGTACGACATTTTGAATTCAGAGGCGATTTCCATTTACCCCAATAAATAAAAGATATATATGTGACGGGGCTCCGCCCGACAACTTTCACATATCAATACGATTATATATTTTTTGAATCACACATAAATTTTTCGCAATGGCAGCGGATGCCGCCGCGGCTCGCAATTTATGTCAACATGTAGCGACCGTAGCATTCGGGGAATTGATGTTTGTGCCCAGAGCAAAAACGGGCTTTCACCAGACAATGCGGAGGGTCCAAACCCATTAAAGATTAAAAATCCGATTCACAGACCGACGGATTAAAAATTGATTTTTTCGACCTAAAATGACTAAATTTTTAACTTTTCCAAAAAATTTTGCACGTGTTAAAGTTTTTTTGCTTTAAATTAAAGGACCGTTAGATGGGGTGGTTTTTTTCTGGGTCTGTTTAAAAAATGTCTGTATATTCTTTCGTGTTTGTGATGTGTTGCTGCTGTCTCTGTCGTTTTGTGGTCCAGTTTGACAAGATTGACAAGATAATTTATACGCTGATATCAGCAACGTTCCGCTAGAAAAAGAAGAGGTAATGCGCCTCGTAAGGTTTATCGTGAAGAGTTGAAGCCACGACGTATCTTGCGTAATCGCCGCCTTCGGTAGCAGTATAGGTGCCTTTATGGACGTCGCGGTTCAAAAACTGCAAAAATCTCAAAGGACGTTAGAAAAGTAAACCTTCGGCGAACTAAATTTCGTTTTTCTATATGGGTTGCACTGGTAACCTTTGCATCAATTTTCTGCTGCGAATCCCTACTTTCATTTAATTACGGGGTGTACAAAAATTGTTAAAATCAGGGCTTGCCGTGTTTCCTCTAATATAACCATGGGGTTGTATTTGGTAAATCACCGTAGGGGAGAAGGTTGCATTAGAGGCGGATATATTTTTTTTGGTTTTTAGTATTCGCGGGGGGGGACCAATTATAACAAAATCAATAATAATCAAATCAATTAATCAAATATAAAATGTTTTACATTGTTTTTAGGAAGTTTTAACTTAATTTAAAGTAAAAAACTTTCAAAAAAAAATGTTAGAAAAATGTTCGAAAATCGAAAAGTTCGTCATTTTTGGTCCTCACCCGCAAATCCTAAGGTTTTATATTGCGACCTAACATTAAATTTTATAATTCAAATTTGTTTAGTTTTATGCTTAAAAGCAGTTAAAAACAATTTAGAAACGCATCCGCTATTTATAAAAAAATTTAGACTTGTGCCGAAAAAGTTTGGTTCCCCCTCCGCGAATCCTCAAGAACCCGTTTTTGCATTCTTTACTTCTCAAAGAGAAGTTCGGAAATTTTTTTCGTGGTTATATTAGACGAAATACGGTAACCCCCTCGGTTGTGCTCTTGCTGCGCAACATTGGAGTTTGCTGCCAGGTGGCTACGGTCTTGGTAGGACGAAAAATGAGCCATTTATAGTTACCAATCGACGTATGCCTACCACGAGATACGCAGGCATAAATTCGTCAATAATGTCGAGGAGCATCAAATAGTAACTATTCGGCTTTCGACTGAAACGTTGCATTATTCAGGCCGCCAGGAAAAAACTTGCTTTTCAAATTGCACCCAAATTTCGGCATTGGTCCTAGCCTTGATTCGTGGAATTTGTTCTTCCACGTATGTGACGTTGGGCGCAGGGTATTTTTCTCGCTTGAGAAATATGAAGAGAACGCATATGTCTTTCTCGTCGTTCTTCCTGACCTCCCAACACAGTGCCGGCTTCACTAAATTTCCAAGAGGTAGTCGGACTCAAACCTCCAAGCATCGCCAGCCATACATCAGCCCCTCTTCGCATTTGAACACTTGCGCATAACGCCGCCACCTGAACAGCATCAATCTAATCTTGCTCTATAGAAAAAATAGAGTCTGCGTGTGTGTGCCACATTGCATGCTACTTCTTTCAGGTGGGTCCAGTCCTGGCAGTTTAGGGGAAGGATCCTAGGGTATTTATGATACGTCATTAGGTGCTTAAAGGGGCTACGAAATGCCAAAAATTGAGTGACGGACCGGAAATCTGAGCCCTGTACCTCGGAGGCCTCTGTATAGCAAGGGGTGGGGGAAGCTCGCAAATTTGAAATTGCCTGTTGTCACCTCATAATCACGTTCTCGGCTGTTCCTGGGCCAAATTTTATGATTAAAACACCAAAATTATTTAAAATTGAGTGAGGATTTCAAAACTGGATTCAGAATGCGCGAATTTTAGAGTTTTCACAAAGTAACCGGGCAAAAACAACTTCGCGCAAAAATCGAAAGAGTGAGGGCAAAGACCCGCAGCGCCCGCTGGCAATTCGCCAGAAATCAAAGAGGCCTCCCAAAAGGGCTTTGATTTTGGCAGTTCGGAGCTCCTTTAATAGTCTCGAGATAAGTGCACACATCAAAGTCTCAAAGAATAAGCTATTTTTTTCTATTAAACTTAAGTTGTTGGAAAAATCTCCGCACCTTCTTTGCTAGCAAAAAAAAACATATACGGGTAGCGGGGTCGCTTATATAAAGGGATGGTTTGTTTTTCATTTTTTGTCATCGGAATTCTCGAAAATTATGCAAAGTGAAAAATATCATGAAAAAACGGGGCCAGGGATGCAAAGTCGCGAAGCTGGTTTTCAACCGTGGCTATAAATATAAATATATATAAACCGGTTGTTTGTGGTTATAAATATAAAAACAGCGCATGGGCACCTTGCGTATTTACATTGAACGTCCGCGTGTAAATCTTCATGCGAAGGTTTTTTAAAGAGATCACGAAGGCCCGGATCAGCAGAACGGGCCCAGAACTCTCACTAAAATTCCGAATTTTTTAGAGAACTTCAAAATGCAATTTTTAAAAGTTTGCAAGCCTCGGAGTCACCCGCTCTATCTGCGTCTCGTTTAGCAAATTCTGATTGGAGATTCTGGACCCCCGTGATCGATTTTAGGGGCGTCCGAAAACGTTGTCATGATGGAATTGTTCGCGGAATAATTTAAGCATTCAATAAATCTTGCCAAGATTTTTGTGATTAAACGCTCGGCAAATTTGTGATTTTTGACATTGTGACCGATTTTTGTGACCAAGTGCACTTCCCAAATGAAGCGGACCAAGTCAAATTCAGGAAATTCTTGAACATGACATACTCTCTGCTCGACGCCGCGAACCAGTCCTGAATAGAATTTCTTAGATCCAGCAGTTGGTCGGGGTGAATACAGTTGCCCCTTTGTCCGAAACGTTCATGTCCTCTTTTTTTGCGCCATTCCTCGAGGTCACGACCGTATCGGTCCAAATCACCCCTCACCGAGTCCCACTGAAAAGCGTGACGGGCTATGTGCTGTTCGAATAGGGTAGCGTCCAGAATCTCCAAAATCAGGGCCTCGAAAATCCAAATCCCGAAAACCAGATTCTCGAAAGTTCAGAATGATAAAACAGAAGGAAAGCTTATCACATTGATACCCTTTACGGTTCTGCACTGTTAGCGGGGGGGGGGGGGCTTCAGCACGAGAGTTTTTCTTTCGTTTTTTCTTTTGTTTTTCAGTTTTCCGAGGTCTTTCGACTTGTTGGTGTTGTGATATGTATTGTCATAATGTTTTTAGTAGTTTTTGGCTGCTAGAAAGTTATAAATATTTTTAAAATTTCAAAATTTCAAAATTTTTAACCAAAAAATCAAAACTTTTCAAGAATTTATTTATGGGTTTTTTGTGTTACGATGTAAAATGTGATTAAAATTGTTTAAAATTGGAGATAGGGCCGTTAAGAATCAGAGGGAACAATTTTTGGTCCCCCCCGCGCTAACAGTCCAGAAACCCCTTTATTGTGCTTGTTTGGGGTAAATGGCTGGCTGCAATCGGATGCTAAATGACGAAGAAAGAAAATCGTAGGAGCAAGTTGAAGAAGATTTTCAAGATGCTGATCATCGAGATTCTGATTTCTGACCCCCATACGAGGCCCATGCCTGGCGATCGGCTTTAAGACCGCGTGGAACATTTAACTTCGCTAATTTCAAATGACCTTTTTTCTAGCCACACTTACCTCCGCTTGGGTTAACCTCCCCAATTTCACCGCTCCTGGTAGATGCCAAGTAGGTGGCGACAAGAGATGGTCCACTGAAAGCCATTTATTACGATGCTTGCGATGGTTGAAACGCTATCTGAGACAATTTTCGCGATCACATGGTCTAAGATTTAGACCCTAAATATCGACCTAGAGACAGGGAAAACGGCTGGACTTGCCACTCCGTTTGAAGGCCAGTTTGCGCGCATACGCTAAACCCCCGAATCTGTGCTTACTGGCTTCGTTCAGCTTGTCACGTACCGCCTGGTCGACAGGTAGTTGACCGGTTGATAGGCCATCTGAAATTGAAAAGCATTACATAACACGCGATTCATGCTTGAGAAAATAACTAACGGGAAGCGACTTGAACCCGGATCTCAATAAAGTTTACTACTACTACCTACTCCGACCCTAGTGTAAATCGCCTGTCTTGGACAAGGGTCGAAACAGGCCAATTAATTTATTGTCTTTGGCCAAGCTCCATATTGGAGTAACCAATTCTCTTATTAACATGATTTATTTAAGTTTTTACCTAATATATTTAACATTTCCTTTGATTTATGATATACCATTGATTCGATGAGATGAAGAAACTAGAACGGAGACCAGACTATATAACCAACCAGCCGCTCCGGCTGCATTAGGAGACCACGCGATTTGCAGAAGCAAAAGCACAGAGAAAAGTTTTTGGAGAACCATTCCTAGCGGCGTCCCACACAGTACGCATTCGCAACAACATACCGCTTTTTGAAGTCACAGCCAATTTGCATTTTCGCAAATAAAATAAAATAGGTTTTACCGCGCCCCGCCGTACAGTTTTCTCATATAAATTAATCAAAATGTCGCCGCCTGTCCTGGGAATTCGAGAATTATTGTCGTTCGCTGGGTGTTTTGTCGTACCGTCGCCTCACGTGTTTTGGCAGACCTGAATGCAATTCACTGGTTTCTTGAAACAGATGCTCCCAGCGTATCAAAGAGCGGAGCGTTTTTATCACCATTTTTAAGATCTCAAAACGCTTTATCGCAAATTTTACAGCTCTGTAGCAAATTCGAAAAACGAGGCAATGATCAACGTGGTAGATTCTATAAGTGTGCACAATTTCAGCCCGGCCCGTGTTGCGGGTAACGATGGCCGACTAGACGCTGGCCTTTCGCACCACCACAAGCTTGAGAACCGCCAGCCTGGTGATTTCCATATCTCCGAAATACATATCTCCTAATTCCATATCTTCTAAAAGCCAGCCCTGTATATTAGCTTTTTTCGGTTGCCATTTAAACTCTTATTTTTCCACGCTCCATCGAATGACATGTCGAAAATGTCGAAAACTTGCTATTTGTCCACACTTTCAGAAGTTATTTTTTATATAAGTTTTTATATTCCGATATTTTGAGATGGGTTTACACCGCTCAGTATCTTTCCTGGGCGCTCTATCGAATCGCGTACAGAAACCCCAAAAAATACCGGGGTATCAAAAATTTTGGGACTTCGGGCTGGCGTGGGGGGGATCCAACCGTAGCCTCAAATTCGTACCGCTCAAGGCTGTCGATAAAAATCGATGCAGTGATTAGCATTGGCCGTATTCAGTGCACCTGTTTGTTCCACATTAACCATCGCCGCTTTCGCCTGCTTTCAAGCGCATTCGACTAATATGCGCTATTCGGCATTATTAGCCGCCCTCCTATCGTCTTCTTTTGCCGGCGACCTCATCACGCTTCACGTGCGTAAGCCCCTTTTTTATTGCTTTCAAGAGCGTATCTCCGAAAATAAAATCTTTGAATAAAGCCTTTTCTTCGCCGTTTGATTCGAAAATTTTCTGATCAAGATACCAGAATCGGTAAGCCCTTCATTATTTCCGCTTTTAAAGTAGGCACAAAACATCTCGTAACTCTACTACAAAAGTGGCATATCTTTTAACGTTACCTTTTTGAAAAACTAATATTCAAGCGCGCATTTGATTTTGGACTTGCAATCGAGCGGGGTACAAACGATCGTGATATCCGGCCGAGCTCAACAAAGTCGTTGCTCGTAAGCACCTCGCCGCTATTTTCTCTTTACAGCTGCGTGGTGATGGCTGGATATGTTCGGATGGCAGTAAGCCGGTGAGTAATAATGATCTAGCAAATGTACAGGGTGTCCCAAAAACAAAAAAGAACCCTCTACCTGGAGGTCGGCAGTCGTGTCCGATTTTTACGGGTTAGGTATCCATCGAAAGCTCTCGACGAGCTGAGTAGATATTTTATTTGCGGTTTTATAAATCCGGGATTTTTTTGCCGGTTTGCGACTTTTTTCCTAACGTTAAACCTTTTTAAGTACTCAATTTAGTGGTCCCAAGGAGACACTTACGTTTCTTCCCATTTTTAAATTTTCGGAATTTTTCGTTGGATTTTCGGCATTTTTATGCCAAATTTGAACATTTAATGTTCAATTTAATGACCCTACGCCGCTAGCTAGCTAGTTGTGTTTTTTAAACTGGCTTTCAAAAAGCTATGTTTGGGCTGTTGCAAACGCGGGAAAATATATAAATCTTGGTTTTTTAAAGAAAGCCTTTCATTGGAGAAGCATCAAAAATTCGGTCCCTTTTCCCAAAACATTAGTAGTTGTAAGAAAATTACGAAATTTGGGAAATCGGAACAAACGTGTCTCCTCACATGCTGGTCGAGCGCTTTCGATGGATACCTTAGGTAAGGGGGCCATTTGGGACCGCCGTGTGTTCGAAACAAAAGTATTTTTTAGCCATGGGTGAAGATCGGGGCAAACCAGCAGGATGATCATAACATGTTTGATCCGTCAGTGCAATGTGACCGTAAGCCCGCGCCGCCTGCTACAGGGTGTCCCAATAAAAAAACACCCCTCAAACTCGACGCGGAAGTATCGGACCGGAATGGTAGTTACACCATTCGAAAGCCCTTGAAACCGCGAGTTTGCAACCATCTTCAAAACCATCTACTATATATAAATTTCTAATGTCCATACGCCCGACCGGGAATTCAGCCAAATTTTGCATGCAAATTCCAAATTCAAATTGTGGGATGCGGGGAGGCCAGCGCTGAACCCCCGCGTAGCGGGGGGTCAGCGCTGGTCTTTTCATTTAAACGCACAATTTTATCAGGCTTCTAGAACAGTAAGGGAGGGCCTCAACATGTTATTAACGGCTGCTTCCGGTCATCTTGCTTGGCGAAATTGGGGCAAATTAGCTGGAATGCAACTTCGTGACACCGAAAATTTTTACAAAATGGTTTGTGAAATTTCGGTTTAAAATAAAAACATCGTTTTGAAGGGTGTAGCAAAGTTGCCGTTTCAACGGCTTTCGGATGGTGCTACCATTCCGATCCGGTACTTCTGCGTCGAGCTAGCCGGGGGTGTTTTTTTATTGGGACACCCTGCATTTGCAAAACAATATGTAGTGAATTGCCGTTCGAAAATAACGATGCGAAACAAGGGAGGCAACGTGCTAGTACTTGTCAAGCATGACTGCACAAATGCCGACACCAAGCATTATTGCTTCACGTTCAAAATGCCCGACGAGAGTGGCCTGGATAAGCAGAATGAATACGAGTGTGTTGGTTTAAGATTTTTCGGGATGGGATTATGGCAACGGATTGCTTATTGGTTTTTCGTGGATTTTTTGCAAGGTCGCCTTAGGCGTTCAGAATATGCCATTTTGATGGCCATTTAGCAGTTTCTAAATAGAGGTTTTGCATGATGTATTTGGCAAAACTCTGCATAGAAAAACACAAAATTGATTCACGATAACACAAGTCTCCTTCTAACAAGTTGGCGTCCCAATTTGGAACAGAACCAAATTTACCTTGTGTAGAATTTTGCGCTGATTCCGAATCCGTTTCCAAATTGGCTTCATCGGCATTTTCAAGAAGTTAAAACACGTTTCCGGGCAAAAAAGTTCAAAATCGCAAAGGGTTCTTGCAAAATTTCATGAAAAATGTTTCGTCAAAAGTACGCGCAGCCTGTGCAGAAAAATTGCTCTATTCGGATGAGCATCTTTTTCTGCGCATGCAAAATTTCTCCGGACACACGGAATGCCACCAATTCCCTGTTTTTCGGTTGCTGATGTTCGGAATGCTGGGCGCGAACTCGGTCGTAGATAAATCGATGCTACACTTCCAGGGGGTGCGCAAAAGTACCAACCCCAACATTTACGCCATTGAAATACCCCTGTAGGTTCCGTTTCGTCCCAACCTTGCCGCTTTTTATAAATACGACCAGTGATTTTTCAGGGAGGACAAGCAATGCTGACCGGCCTATGCAATAAAGCTGTACTGAAACGGGTTGAACTTGTAAACACGCTACTGAATAACATGTACAGCGCATTGGGAAAAAGCCAACTATCAGGCTGTCCGGAAAGTTGTATCCTAGCAAGTAATCTATTAGCAATCTTAGCAATTAAAACAGGGACTCCCGCGTTTCGGATGAAACGGTTTTCGGTACTATTTTTGGGCTCTTTCAGGTGCACACATCAAAGCGATTTCGCACGATCGATTTCTCGCGGAATCGGGCTTGGAAGGCCAGGTCGACGAGGGCTGCCTAGTTGCAACATTCAAAAAAATCGTAGCAATTAAACCAGGGCCTCCGGGGTTTAGGAAGAAACGGTTTTCGGTACTATTTTTGGTGCTCTTTCAGCTGCACATCGAAGTCCCAAAAAAGCATACGGGTCCGGGGACTCATCCTAAACCTAAGCCTAAGCCTAAGCCTAAGCCTACCTAAAAGCCTAAGCCTAAGCCTAAGCCTAAGCCTAAGCCTAAGCCTAAGCCTAGCCTAAGCTGAGGGTCAATCTTTGGCCTACTCAGTGGAAAGCTTTGGGAACCCCCTCCACACTAGTGGGCCAGGTGGGGGGCGAGTGCGAAGCAAGCAGAGTAGCCCGTCCTGCGATTCCGCTACGAAATAGCGTCCGGAATGCGGAAACGCCTGATTTGGCTAAATTGAGGATTAGGGGTGTTCGAGCTGCTGTTGCGCCAAGGAGCGATGTGACGGCCGAGCCAGTTAGCAACCCGGAATCAGCTTTCCAAAGCGCTTCGAATGGTCCGCTTACATTGATCGGAAGCGCGCGGCCCGTTTCGAAAAAATCCATGTGGTCCCCCTTTACTCGTAAACCATCAAAAATCAAAGTTTCAAAAAATCGTGGCCATTAAACCAGGGCCTCCCGGGGTTTGGAAGAAACGGTTTTCGGTACTATTTTTGGTGCTCTTTCAGGTGCACACATCAAAGCGATTTCGCACGGTTGATTTCTCGCGGAATCGCGCTTGGAAGGCCAGGTCGACGAGGGCTGCCTAGTTGCTACATTCAAAAAATCGTAGCAATTAAACCAGGGCCTCCGGAATTTCACCGGAGGCCCTGGTTTAATTGCTACCGGAGTCTCCGGTAATATTTTTGGTGCTCTTTCAGCTGTACATCGAAGTGCGTGATGAATTTCTCGAAATTTTTTTGGTAAATTCCGAAGGATCGACGTGGTCCCCCCTTTACTCGTAAACCGTCAAAAATAAAAGTTTCAAAAAATCGTAGCAATTAAACTTTGGGTCAATCGATGTCTCATTGGGGAAGGCGAGTTGGACTTAAAAATGTTGATACTAATGACGATTCATACTTCCTACCATTAAAAAAAGCCTTGCCCATATACTACGCAAATGTAGCAGCAATGCAAGAAAACTCGTCCCGTATCCATTGTCAAAGTGACGCGTGGGCAGGTTGTGTGCATCGCAAGCACGCGCTTTTACGTTTTATTGGATCGTGAATTTCGGAGGAGCCGCGTGTTCCAAAATGGATGTGAACAGGCCTTTCGTAACTTATGGCCAGCGGTCGGCGGATTCACAGTATTATGAAATCTTTATTGACACAACATCAATCTCTTTTAGAAGAAGACGACAAAACTGCAGCGGTATGTCTTGTGGTCGCTTTGAAACGGGTCCCACGTAAAGTAGAACGCGTTCGTGAAGAAGAAGTGTTGGTAGTAGCCATCCGGCTGCACGGCGGTGACACCGTGACGATCCACACCGTCGTCCACCCACGCCTTCTGAAACGATCGAATCATGCTGAGATTTTTAGGTTGAAACTGTCAAAAAAAAATATGGCGGAGTCGCAACTTCGGGACTTCGTATTTTGCGTCGCAATTATGTTACCCCAAAGATCGCCGGCATGTACTCGTCGACGGCAGCAATGTCAAAGTGCTTTTGGTCGGGCATCACGCTGAAAGGAGGAAGATATCAGGGATTTTCAGAGCCTACCCTCCAACGTTTTCAATGAACAGGCTCTTAATTTTATGCTTGACGGTTTCGAAATGCGCCTCGGCCTGTGTGGTGTTCAACGGATGTTCACTGTCGCGGCTCGCCCATATGAAAAACACACTCAATGTCTTGCTGTTGTGCACATGGCACAAGTGTCCCTAAAAAGATGATGAACTCAATTTTCAAATAGCCTTCCGCCTAGTGGCAGTATTGCACTATGTCCTATTAATCAAATATCGAATGACAGCAAAACAGATCTCAACAAGATCGGGGAATTTTTCACGCACCTCCAAGCATTTTGTTCCCCACACCAGCCCGCGAACATAATCCATATAGGAGTTGTGGAAAAAGTGAGCCATGCGACGCAGACTGGAATATGGCTGTTCTAGATGGTACCAAATTTTGCAAGAGTGCTTTAAAAAAGTGATGATGTCGATTTTCGTAACGTCGCAATTTCAGAAGTTTGAAACGTCAGAACGCGAAATTCCATACGGCAAATTTAATAATGTCCGAATTTCACACCGCGAAATTTCATGATGTTCTAATTTGAACCTAATTTCATAATGTCGAAAGTTTGTATTGCGAATTTTCAGAATGCCGAAATTTCCTAAAATTCAAACTTTCATTTTCAAGTAGTTTCCGAATGTTGAAATTTACATGATTACGTCTCGAAATATGAAGAAAAAATCAAAACTGTCTTTCCTTAGTAATTTTGTTTTTAGTCCGGGCTGCCCGCGCCCACCTCGGGTCCCGCTTAGGGAAATATTCGAGAAATTTCTGCTGCAACTCCGGATATCTCTTGGGGTTGATGACCTTCCCGCCATGGAAGCTGTCATACTCGCCGTAACTATCGCGAAAGTCTTCGACGTAGGTTGCGAATAGGGACTTTTCTCCGATGATGATGTCCACCTGCAAAAATGGTTTTTGAAGCTTGTTGCAAATTCGCTGTTTCAAGGGCTTTCGAATGGTGTAACTAGCATTACGATCCGATACTTCCGCATCGCGAGGGGGATCTTTTTTATTGGGGCGCCCTGTACAGTACCTGTTCGTCGGTCAATTTCCGGCCGAGATTTCCGGCGCTACTTCCGCCACCGTGTAGTTGCTCATACTGCGAAAGCGCTTGTAGCAGGTCTTTTCGGACATTGGGGTCGCTCAACGTCTCGTTACCGGAAGATGAGCCGACTAGAAAAATACGGATGATCAGGCTCGACCAGACGTCATAAAGTTAGGCGTAAGCCATCGTCGAGTTCCTACCATTAAAGAGCCCCTGACCAGTAACTGCGGCAATGTAGAAGAACAACAGCTGCGCAACCCTTAGCCCGACCATTTGTCACCACATCAACATCATTACGCCGATCCCTTATCTAGCCTCCATTTTACATGAATAATTCAGAATATCGTTCGAGTTCAGTCCCACACGAAAATATCAACATGCCCTTTGTCACGAAAATATCCTCCGAATTTATGTGTTGCATAAAATGCCGTTTTCGAGAACATTTATCCGCGAAATTCTCTTGCCCTATCCTCGGGTATGACGCTATGAAATTCAAATTCTGTTGTCCCCGCGAATGTTATCCTTTAAGCGTTGTGCTTTTTTAGAGCCGATCGCATCATCTTCGGTGGGTTTTGGGTTCAGCACTACGGTAAACGGATTTGAACAATCGATTTTTGTGCCCAAAAATTCATGAGCTTGCAGCCAAGACTTCAAATCAAAAGCTATTAACCTCTGAAAAACAAGGGGGCACGACAGCTGCCATAATTTTCTAACATTTGGTGCTTAATTGTTACCTTATTTGAATCTTTTTGAACCCACGTCAATTCGGCAAGAACCGAATTCTCTTTCCCCGTTTTCAAGTAATCCCGACTAGGAAAAGTAATTATGCTAACGTAAGCTATAAATTGTAAACTTCTAGGGCGCCTAATGAATATGTAAGATCGATCGTCGAAGAAGTTTTCTTCCTTTCCTCTGCGCCGCATACAAAATTGGCTCCCGGAGCATTGCTTCTGTGCTGGCGCCGACCGTGCCGAATAACGTGTTTCTTAAAATACAGGCTTCTTTCCCGAATAATTTTGAAAATATGAAAGTAACTCACACGTAGATGGAAATGAGGAGGATTAGAATCATGAAACCACAAAAAGCAGCAGACCGCGGCGGCGCTCTTGCGGAAGAAAAGAGACCTGTCTGCTGGACTGGCCGGTTTCGCTTGCTCGGCGAGAGAGAGAGAGAGAGAGAGAGAGAGAGAGAGAAAGAGAGAACGTGAGTTACAGATCCCAGAGAAACAAACGAATAGCTACCATTGAGATCCGATGGTTCTGTGTCGGGTAAGAGGTTTTATTGGGACATCTATAAAATATCTTAAAATAAAACAAAATAAACATAAAATAAACGCTATCAAATTTTATCGATAAAAAATGTATATATTTAGCTAAGAGATGTTGCAAAAGTTAGTTGTTTAGGAGGATGCCGTCAAGATGTAAACGTTCCATTCAAAGAATCTGCAAGTAGGTGATCGTCGGCCACGATCGCACAAACGCGTTGACCAAGTTTTATTGCTTTTCGTTTTCGGTCCCCGACGAGACCCAACCACCGCATAACGACTACGAGTATGTCAATAGGTTTCTGATTGTTCCTTCTGCTTCTCGGATGATCATGTTCGGGATGCCGGGTCTGGAAAAATGGACCGACAAAGAGCGGCTCCACTATCATCGAGTGCGCAAACAGTCTAACAACGACATCTATGGAAAAGACTTAGAAGTGTGAGTTCTATAAATCACAGAGGGATAAGGGCGGCATAAGTCAATCGATTACGCGCGGGAAAGAAAATGGGTCTGCTTCTTCGACCGATGCCGTCCGTATTCCCTTAAAGGATGAAAATTAATCTAGAATCGACAATGGTTCAGTAGGATCGATTGTCGATTTTAGACACAATCGAGCAGATGTGTTAATGGCCGGCGATGATAAGAATGCTGACTTAAAGTTGAAAGGCATCATTATAATAAATCATCGTCACAACCGCATCACAGCCATATGGTTGTTAAAGACAATAATCACGCTGTCAGTCTTGCGGCAGACGTATTTATTTCGACGAAATTGCGGCTGGACGCTTAGATTTGGCTGCTTAGAAGGATGTGCATTTACCGAGGGTCCTAAATATGGAGATTGCAGACATCACGATGCTTACAAGCAGTAATTTTTAGCCCTTTTTCAGTTTGCAGGTTAAAGATCGATTGCAGGGGCGCGAGATCAAAAGTTTCTTACAGTAAAAATAATTTGGAAAATCTTTTTTTACGGCGTAAAGCAGCTCTTACAATTAGTATATTTTTCGACGCGCTATCGAACGGCTCTCGCGAAATCCCACAGAACGGGTTGTCCCAAAAAAAACTACCCCTCTAACTCGACGCAGAAATATCGGATCGGAATGATAGTTATACCATTCAAAAGCCTTTGAAACGGCGAGTTTGGAAAAATATTTAAAATCATGTGTTTTTAACCCGCTATTTTACAGACCGTTTTGTAAAATTTTGAGGTTTTTCGGGATTGCATCCGAGCTAATTTGCCTCAATTTCTCGAAGCAAAATGACCGGAAGTAGCCATTAATTAGTGGCATAAGCCGTTCTTTAAGGTTTTTAAATGCGTTATAAAATGGCGCGTTGAAGTAAAAACCTGGTTTGGAAGATTGCTGCAAACTGGCCGTTTTAAGGGCTTTTGAATGGTGTAACTATCGTTTCGATACGATAGTTACACCATTCGAATAATAATTCCAATACTTCCGCGTCGAGTTAGAGCGGGTGTTTTTTTATTGGGACACCCTTTGGTTTGTTGTTTTGAAATAGTGAATGCCCCCGTTGCCCTATGTGCACCGTTCTACCGTAAAAGACTCCTTATTAGTTTTAAACACTCGCATTATTTCTCCGTAGGTCTTACGATCCGCCCTCTTCGCCATCCCTGCATACAGAATTGGCTCGCGATTCATAACTTCTATGCTTTCGCCGAGCATCCCAAATAGCGTGATCCTCGAAATAAGGCCATTTGAGAGTGATATTCATAGCCCATGCTCATTTCTCTTACGCCGCCCTGCCGACGTCACTTACCTGTAGGCGGCGGGCTCTTCGTTTCCGTTGGGTGCCGGAAACAGGGTCGACCAGCAGTAAACCTCCGGCATTTTCTAAAATTGATGATTGATCTTGAAGGTGTAGTCACCTGAGTGCCCGGGCACTTAAAGTTGACGAAAAACTCGATAGCTGTGAGCCGCACCATATAATTAGCCAGGCAGGTCACTAAATAATTTTAAATGCCGTAAACTCCATCTGGGTTTTGCCTACAATCGTTTTTACACGAGGGCTGGCATTTTGCGATGTGGCATAGCTAATTCGATAGAGCTTGAAATTCTAAATAAATATCATTTTTCAAAAACTACGGTCTACCGAAAAAGTTTTTGCAAAGCTTAAATTTTGTTCAGCGCAATGCGAAAATTGGCAAAATCGCCTACCGGAGCAAATTTTTGCAAAGACCGTCGGCGCTCAGCAGTTTTTGAAAAAAAGAAAATTATTCAGAATTGCAGGCTCAACCCAATGAGCTGTGTCGCCTGGCAAAACTCCAATGACACCTAACAACCCCGCGTGTTAGCCACTCAAAATTCTAAAGTTTTACTTCCGCGCCGAAAGCGTAACACACAAAGATTTTCGACAGTCTTACCCCGACATTCCTGCGGACTCTTCTCATCCTTGCCGCTCGAGTCCCTAGCCGAGACAGTGACTGATATCTGTTGAGAAAGATTATAGGCCTGGCGGATCGCGATCAAAATTGCGAAAATCGTGATGTCAAAATTCACGGAACGGAAAACAGGAGGTCGAGCGTTCGACTCTCGCCGTGCGCAACCCCGTTTCACCATTGCTCGAAAGTTTATTCTGTGCTAGAAAATGTCTACATTCTCAAACTCGGCATTATGAAATTCCAAATTATGAATTACGAACATATGATTTTTCATATTTTTGGCAAATCGTGTTTGACTCTTTCAGGCTTTCCAGACGATAATTGCGCAACTACCAGCCGGGTCTCATCTTTAACCTACCGGCTGTTGGCCATCGGCGCATACCCATGCTCCACCATTGACCTAAATGACAAACAAATAATTCAAGCGGGAACCGTACGAGGCAACGGTGTTTTGGGTATGATGCAAACTTGCTTTTATCTAACGCCATCTGAAAAACGAGCTCTTTTCCCAAGAAATGGTGGAGATACGGGGTGTCCCAAAAAATCGACCCCTCTAGCGGTCTTCGGATCGGGATGATTTTTTCCCCCATTCAAAAGCCCTCGAAAGACTAAAAACAAGCGATTTTCGTTTTACAAAATTTTTGGCCCTCGCGCGATATTAAACGATTTTTTAAAATAACGTGAAGTCAGCGGCGGCCTGTTAGCTTGAGAAAGTTTTTATTACATGCCGATTTGCATAAAATCTGCAGTTTTCATGGTTTTTCAGTATTAAAATGCCTGAACTAATATGTCTATAATGAAAAACGAAAACTGCTTGTATTCTCGCCGTTCCGACAGCTTTTGAATAGAAACCTCAATCGTCAAAATCGGGCACTTCTGCGGTCCGCTGGAAGGGGCTCAATTTTTTTTGGGCACCCTGCATATTGGATTTCCCCATTTGTTGTGCTGCATGGGCTTTTCATTTTTCTCAAAGGACTGACCGTAACATTACGCATCGGATCGTCTGCCACAACGAAGCATATATACGTCAACGTCAGCAGAAGAAAGCTTCCCAAATTCAGTGGGGCCATTGCTGGTGGCTATGGAAATGTCTACTCCTATCCCTGGTAGCTCAAAATTAGGATTCCGCCTCGAAGCCGTGAGCGGAATAAGGATGTCTGATGCCGGCGCGACAACTTCTCGAGACTACTGATTTCTTTTGTAGCGCCGTGCTCGCTTTGTATGCTATGCAGGGCGGGCCCAATATCGGGGTTAAATGAAAAGACAAAGATCTCTCTATATGCAAGCCCTCGAAATCGTCACAACTAACTTTGTAAAAAGATTTACAACTCACTTTTCTTTCATGCGCCATTTGCAACGCGTTTAAAAAACATTAAGGAACGGCCGCTGAATCTAATTGACGGCTACTTACGGCTATTTCATCATCTTTGCGTCCATCTCCTATTGATTTTTTCGCATTCTTTTTAGTTGAACATTGAACTACTGATTTTGCATACTGGCTGACCTTGATTTTCGTGCTTTTAGAAGCTTTTCTCAAAGCAGCCCGCGCAACAGGATGTGAGTTTGGTCCGCGTAGCGGTTTGCTTGATCTTTCCCACAAAAATAAGAAAAACCATGTCGATATGACGGAAAATCTCAACACCGAAAATTTTATTGCATCCAAAAATGTATGATCACCGTTCAAAAATAGAATGAAAAAATGACACAATAGGTTTCCTTGACAACCCACTGTCGGGTTAGAAAGTCATGCCACTCCAAGTGCCTTATCTGCCCACCGAGTTCTGGGGCCGGTGCCATGGGCCAAGTACATTCTGTTTTCCAATCATCGTTTTTCCAAAGTCTCTAAAGCTGGCCGTTGGGTTTTAACCTGAAAGGGGCTCAGAAGTCAAAATTCGTCCGTGCGGGGATTGAACCTACGGGTCAAAAAAACGAAAGGGTCACTGCCGAGAACTGCCAGAAAAGTGATTTCGTTGCGAAAAAACGTAAAATGTTTGAGAAAAACCGAATTCTTTTTAGGGCGAAAACGACATTTTGAGTGGGCAGGGATTACATGTCGTAATGCCTTGTAAGGCACCCAATCTCTCGATCTCGGAGATCCTCTGGTCAATTTTCATAATTTAAAAGTCTAGAATGATCAAAATTCGTTGAGCATTCCAAAAATAGTATTAGCATTTTTAAATTCAAGCGTTTTGACGTCCAAACAGGGGCAAAAGATCATGCGGCGGTTGCGTTGCGGCCGCATCTGGCTATTTGCCAGGAATCACAGCAGGGGGCCGTGGACCAGATTTCGGAGCCCCTTTAACGAGGCACAAAGGGACAGAATCCACTCCTGGCACTATCAGGAGGATCGACTCGTTAGAAACCGCAACTAACCACTGTGTAGGCGGGCATCACATCGTCCGCCAAGCCGAGGTCAAATTTGGATACTACGAATTTGTCGCCATCGAAAATATCCCTACTGAAATCGGACACGAATATTAAAATAAAAGATTTTCAAGGTATTCTTATGGTTGGTTCTAGCTTCTGGGCTAGAACGGAGGAGATAGTTCTTTCCAGATTAAACCCAAATTACCACAGATCGGCACCGCGAAATAAACTTTCATTTTTAAAACCAAATAGAAAAGACCGAATAACTTGGACTCAGAAATTGTACGAAAACACGGATAGAATCGACCAGGCTGCACATCACCTCGTGACATGCCAGTTATCGGTGATCTTTTGGTTAAAATCGTCAAACTTTGACCTCGACTATTTTGACCTTCCCCGTCAATTTGCAAAAATAAAGATAGCAAATGTATTCAAAAAATGTTTCGCTTTCGAATGAGCCCTCTAACTCGAAATTTTCCAAAACTGGAAAATCTTAAAAAATCGAACGAAATATGCCATTCGAATCGGAAAAATTATCTATCCGATCGGCTACTTAAAACCAAAGGAGGACGTAAAAGAACGGCATCATGGCAAAATACTTCTCGGAGGCGAAAATTGACCTAAAACATAATTATCTCGAGTTTTAAAGAACAGTAGCAAGTTCGGAAAAGGATGGGATGATCAGCGTCGTCGATTCTATCTGTGCGCAATTTTTCCGCGCCAATTCTGTGTCCGGGTTTATTCGGGCTTCCCTAGTCGATGCAGGAAATGCTGTGCACTCACTTTCAAATGGGCCGTCGAGTAAGGCAAGTTTTTCTTGCGCGAATGAGACATTTATAAGTATTATCTTCACCCACGGAGTGAAGATCTTGGCGCGGAACCGCTCAATCAGGCCAGACCCATCTTTCGTCTTCACCATCCAATTGTCGATTTCCTCCTTCGTCGACATACGCGCATTGCCCCACCAAAAGTGGACCGCCATCAACCCGCTCGTGATGTAGGTTCGGCAGATGCCGCGGCTTCCACAAGCGAAATACTCGTAGGAGGACCCGGCGTGATGCCAATACGACAAGAACAACTCAGCCACCCGTCGCACACTGCAAGAGGGAATTTTTTTAGTATCGCAAGTCCCCAGCCACAGATTAATGATCCATACCAAACCAATACCGCTTGTTCCAATAAAAACACCCCCCTCTAACTTGACGCAATCGGGACGATACTTACACTATTCGAAAGCCCATGAAACGGCGTGTTTGCAACAACCTCCAACGCTAGCTTTTTACTTAAATGCGCCAGCAAAATTCTCAAGTAAAATGACCGGAAGTAGCCGTTAATTAGATATGGAAGCCGTTCCAGAATGTTTTTAAAGGCGCTATAAAAGATACATGGTCTTAGAGATTGTCACAAATTGGCCGTTACAAGGGCTTTTGAATGGCGTAACGAACTGTAGGGAGTAGCCCGCAAGGCCTTGCCGGCTACTCCCTACACAACATTCCGATCCGACCTTTCTCCTTCGCGTTAGAGGGGGTTTTCACGTTTCCCAAACTTACTTCGTTACGTTCTTAGCATTAAATTTCGACTGCAATTCCAGCGCGAGCTTTGGGTATTGGTCCTCGGGCAGATGGGGTTGGTAGAACTCCGTCGCTTCGCCGCACTCTCTCAATACATACGCGTCCAGGTAGGCCTTGTATTCGGCGAACTCGGCGTTTGCGATCGCTTCCTCAAATTTCGTTGCGTTGGAAAAGGTGTCAAACCAGTTGTTTCAAATCGACTGCTTCGGTTAGACCATCTCGCACTTCTTGGTCGACCGGTAACCGGGCATCAGCGCCTATAGAATCATAAGGTTGAACGTCGGCAGAAATGGCAAATAAGGTTAACAAAAAAACATCTTACATAGAAACCATTACCAACCTGCCGATGGAATTAAGATTGCTGGCAGGAGTAAAATAGCGCCACGAAACATCATTGCTACTGTATTTTTGACACAGACGGCGCGCTTTTTATTTGCCAAAACTGGCGCCAAATCGGGCGTTCGTCAAATAAAATAAGTTTGGTGGTGGTGGATGGCGAGATTCATGGAATGCGAAAACAGCTGAATCTGGACATTTTTCCCGAACGCGGAGCACACGGCATAAATCCAGTTTGTTAAAGCCAACTCGGTGAATTTTGAGTAGATAGCCTCCGCGTTTTCAGTGGGTGTACCCGATTACGAAAATTTCCATATCGAAAATCAGCATTTCGAAAATAGCTTTATAAAGTCAGCATTTCGAAACACCATTTCGAAAAGCACCTTTTCGAAAATTACCACTTCCAAAATGAAATATTCCGCAGAAATTGTTTTGCTTCCCAGTCGCGGAAAAACCTGTTTTTTTTTCGCCAATTCGATGTTTTATAGTCTATTTCTCGAGAGGATGATTTTCGAAATCGTGAATTCTATTTTCGTATCTACATTGTAAATTCGTTATATCTTCGTGAATTCTATAATATGTTATGTCCGCGGATTTGCAAGTTCGATCCGTAATTACACCACAATACCCTTTTTTTGAAAGGTTCTGAAAGTTCTTCAAGGTTTATTGTACGGCACTTCCGAACGCATCTTTCAGAAGAAGAAGGAAAATTCGACACAGTAGGTATCATCAAAAACAGGGCGCCGTTGAACGTCGTGCCACTGCAAGTGCCTGATCTGCCCGCCAAGTTCCGGGGCAGATACGGTGGACCATTCGCACACTTTGCTCCAATCCGTGTCTTTCCAAAGTTGCTAAAGCTGACCGTTAAATTGAGGATACCCCCTTGGGGATCACAAATAATTTTTTATAATAGAAAACTTGCTAGGAAACAAACTGACCACAGTATAGGCCGGCATCACCTCGTCAGCCAGGCCCACGTCGAATTTTTCTGTTTCGTATTGGCTGTCTTCGAACCAGCCAGTCCTAGAATCCAAAAAATATATGCATGACAGCGAGTCAACCATTTCTAGTTTTATTTTTATAGTCCATATCTTTGCGTTGCGGTAAAAAAATTACGGTTTTGGACTGTAAGCGGGGGGGGGGGGCTTTTAGCTGGGTGGGAACCCATTTTTTGTTTTCCTCCGTTTTGATAACATGTACTGCATTTTTAGTACTTTGGATTCTTAAAAAATTATATAAAATATTTTTTAGAAATTGTGAAACGCGACATTTTCGAAATTTTTGCGTCATTTTTCATAAATTTTTGACCAAATATACAAAAATATTCGAAAATTTTTACCCCGCCGTTAACAGTCCAGAACGCAGGATCGAATATCAATATCAAAATATTAATTTCGAGCTTTCATCCTACTATATATAAAAAAGTAGTGTTTGTGTGTGTGTGTGTGTGTGTGTGTGCATTTGCATGCAACTTCCGTCCGTATGTTCCAGTCGTATCTCAATGGGGGAGGGAGTTAAGGGTACGTATGATACTTCATTAGGTGCGTAATGGTCATGACACGACTGCACGCATATGAGATTGTTAAAAATCAATAGTTTTCGATATTAAAATTAAGTTTTTGTGAAAATCTCGCTCAGCCTCTTTGTTAGGAATCAATTTGAATGCACCGGAAGTGGGGGGAGCCTATATAATGGGGGAGAGGACGCGCTTTTCATTTTTTCCCAGGAATTCAGGATTTTATGCAAAGTGATGAAGCATGGGGGTAGGACGGGGCCAGGGTTGAAAAGTCGCGAAGCGGCTTTTCAACCCTGGTACTGTAATAAAAGGCCATTCCAGCCATATTGGCCCACTTTTTGTCGAAGACCTCCTCGCGGAACTTCTCAACGAGTCGGGATCCCGCGTTTGTCTTCTCCATCCAATCGTCAATTTCCGGCTTGGTCGACATACGGGCGTTGCCCCACCAAAAATAGATCATAAGGTAGGCTCTGTTCCGGTAGGTTCGACAGATTCCGCGGCGACCGCAAGCGAAATGCACGAACCCGCCGCTCAAATGCACCTGAGCCACTCGGCGGACACTGCAAATATTATCAGGAAAGTGGTTCGACGGGTTGTCAGGCTCACTTTGTGACATTCTTGGCATTGAATTGCGACTGCAACTCCTGAGCTATCTTTTTGAATAAATCCATGGTGGGGTGGCACAGGGTCTGTTTGCCACAAGCCTTCTTGATATACAGGGTGTCCCAAAAAAAAAGACCCCCCCAAAAATTTGAGCCAGAGGGCACCTACGGAGTTGAAAATTTGCACAGAGGTAGCGAAGGCAATTTTCTACGAACAAGGAAAGTTTCAGCCCGATCCTCCAGCGGGTTTTAAAGTTATAGCGAAAATACTTTTCATTTTTATTTTAATATGGGGATCTATGCAATTTGCATCAAAAATATGCGTTATTTTTGCATTTACGAGCCGATTTTGCATAAATTTTGCCGAAAAATGCCAGTTGCTTCTTTGGGCTGTAGAAAAACGATTGCTCGTGGAGAGAAAAAATGGTTGCAAGACCGCGGAAAACAAGACGCATTGACTGAAACTATCGTTGGACGCTAGAACTCAGCTTAGACTTCGTCGTTAGCGTCAACCCAAGCCGAAAACTGAACCTTAATTTAATTTAGCTCAAAATTGTCGAAATCTGAAAAAATTTGAATGTGGCAAAATTGGAGAAACGACTTTGGAATCAACGAAAAATTCTGCGCAAAGGAGGATAGGTCCCATTTATGAGGAATCGTGGTAGCTACTTTGGTACAGTTGGTTACACTGATTCAGCACAATTACCGGGTCTGTCTGTGCCTGTTCACGCCGAATGCTGTAAGAGCCGCCAAAATAATTGCAATTAAAAATTTTTTTCTGTTTGATGACTTTCATATGATCATGCTTTCAGATAAAAATTGCTAAAAAAATGCGTTCATGGGCTGCAATTCTTGCTGAGCAGGATGAGAAACTTCTGGAAAATATGTCTCTCCCTATTGTTGCAACGGTTCAAACGTGTAAATTTTTTGACCAAAAGCACATTCAATGGGCTCTTATTGTTAGCTTTGGCAATGGCGCCTCTCTGAATTGATCAGACAGATAGGAACGCAAACGAAGACTTTTTGTTGGGCAAGCATTTTACGGAACCTGCGAGAACCCACTCAAAAACCTCTCCTTGTAAACAGGTTAGCAAGCTCCACCAACTGTTTCGGCGCTTCCACGTGCGATTTTTTACATGTCACTTATGTTAACTATGATACTTTATCACACCAAACCACGTTCAAAAGAAGAATGAAAAATGTACGCAGTATGTCTCGTTAACAATGAGGCGGTTCTGAATGTCATGCCACTCCAGGTGCCTGATTTGACCACCGAGTTCTGGGGCCGAGGCCGTTTCCCCTGTGCATTCTTGCCTCCAATCACTGTCTTGCCAGATCCACTAAACCACATTAAGCCTCACCGTCTGCAAGGAATTGAGGCAAAGTGCCCAAAATGCTAGATCTGCCAATGAAGGAGCGGCAATGTAAACTAACCACGGTGTATGCCGGCATCATATCGTCGGCTAGACCAAGGTCAAATTCCGATGGCTTGTATCGATCGAACTCGGTTTGCCTGGAACCTACCAATAGTTTCTTTCTCCTTATCGGGGGGGCGACGGGAAACAAATTATTTTCATCATATAGAAGTTTCTAATAATTTAATAAGCAGTATATTGTTCTTAGCAAATTCTTAACGAAAAACTATCTAAAAACTGAAAAATCTTGCAAGTCGAAATTCTGGTCAAAGAACGGCGTTTTTGGTCGAAAAATCCATATTTTTGTGGTTTTTAAAAATATCTTATTAGTTTTTGAGGAAAGTTTTATTAGGAAAACTAAAAAAAACAGTTTAGAAAGATTTCCGCTGTTTATATTTAAAAAAACTGGTTCCTCAGAAAAAATTCTTCCCCTCCCCGATAATGCGAAAAAACCCACGAATAAATTAAATTTTAAGTGCAATCTTAAAAACTACATTGGCAACATCAACCTCCCGTTTTCCCTTTTTGGGGTTTTCCATGCAAAAATTTGGAGATTTGAATAAGAACCGGAAGCTTAATCAAATCCTCAGATTTGAACACGGATTTGATTTGAATAACCCCATCACCCGTGTAGACACCCACTCTTTAGAGAAGATCTTTGCGCGGAACCTCTCGATCAACCCGGCTCCATCTTTGGTCTTCACCATCCAATCGTCAATTTCCGTCTTCGTCAACATATGCGAGCTGCCCCACCACATGTTGATGGTCATCCAGGCTCTGGTCGTGTAGGTCCGGCAGACCGCTCGAGCGCCGCAGGCGAAATACTTTGGGGTCTTGACGGCGACGAGCAACTGTGCAACTCGGCGCACCCTACGGTCAACTAATTTATTCGTTGTTTTTTAATGCAAATGTTTTATGGGTGTTTGGGAAATGGCGAAGGAATCGCTTTGTCGAAAATCATTTTGTCGAAATGTAGTCTTGTCGTAATTTCATTCTGTCGAAATTTCCATGCGCTGACCTTCAGTTTGCGAAATTTTGAGGTGAATAGGAGGGGCCGAAATGGCATTGAAATTTCGACAAATTCAATTTCCGGTGATGTTTCCTTTTCGACAAAATAAGGTAAGTCATTGCGGACAGCTCCCCGACTTGTGCGGCCGCGACGCTCGAGACTCGAACTTTACGACGTGAACGGGCCGCAAGTGTCGGGTCGCAAGTGTCAAACCGCAAATGCCGTGGTGCGCAACGGACACTCACCCTAACTCACTTCGTAACGTTTCTCGCATGGAATTGGAGCTGCAATTCCTCCGCAGCTTTTTGGCATACGCCCGCCGGCAGATGACAGACCCCCACGTCGCCACAAGTTTCCTTTATATAATTGTCCAAGTAGCGTTTGTAATCCGCGAACTCGGCATCAGCAATAGCTTCCTCAAAAAAATGTGTCTAAAAAATCGGCAAACGAGTTGTGTCCGTTCAATGGCCTCATTCAGCTCATTTCGCACTTCTTGATCGATTGGAAGCTCGGTATCAGCAACTGTTAGAGGGAATATTCTTGCGATCGATTTTGATATTTCCATTCCGCAGTCTATTGAAGCAATCAGCACCAACCTGCTACCAAGAAAATGATGGGCGACGTGACCAAAATATCGAAGAAACAACGAAAGCCCATCGCTACTGTAAACTTTTCCGGACCAGAAATTCTGTTATGAGCAGGCTGCTCTCTTTTTATTTGTGACAATCTCCCACGCATTTTTCAAATAAAATAAATCTAGACGCGTGTGAAAGTGTATGCGTAAAAAAGGGTTGCCCGATCGAAGCAGCGAAAAATCGGTGACAAGTGAGGTTTGGGGAAGGCACCCAGATTTTCGAAACCCATGGTTTCGAAAACTTATATTTTCTTAGGTTTTCTTAGGTTACCTGAGCCTATGCAAAGCTGTAAATATGAGTTTTCGAAAATATGCCCGCAACTCCAGGTTAAGCCTAAGCAAACTTCCAACCTTCGCAAAAACTCTTTACTCCGCGGATGTAAACTCCACCAATTGCTTTGGCTCTTTTACGTGCCATTTTTTATATCACGCTGATTGAAAATATGATGATTTATCACCACCAACATGGTTCAAAAGAAGAATGAAAAATGAACACAGAATGTGTCGCCCTGAAAAATTCGGTTCTGGATGTCGTGCCACTCCAGGTGCCTGATTTGACCGCCGAGCTCTGGGGCCGAAGCCATTTCTCCGGTGCATTCTTTCTTCCAATCATTGTCGTCCCATACCCACTAAAGCTCCTCGTTAATCCTTATCGTGTGTTCCAAAACTCCTTATAGCTTACCAAAAAATTACGAAAATGCTAGTTAGGTCAACGTAAGAAGCGGAAACTGACCACGTTTTATGCGGGCATCACATCGTCCGCCAGACCGATATCGAATTCCGAAGGGTTGTGTGGACCAATCAGCCTGAAACCGACGCCAAAATTGAAAAGGCAACTTTAATTGGGAATTCTCACATCGGCAGTGCCAGGATGTCTAAAATTATTGGGAAGAAAGTTTTTGCTGGTCGACGATGATATTTCGATGATATTTTTTTTTTTTCTACATAAACCAAAACCTGGCCGCTACGTCACTGCCTCTCCTGTTTTTGGGAACGGGGAATTTCGAAGTGATCCTGTGTAGAAATTTTTGCTGATTTCGAATCCGAAGCTCTAATCATTAGCTTAACAAGCCTAAGACTAACCATAAGCCGAAGCCTAAGCAACTCAACACCGTGATCCTCATCACCCACTTTTTCGCGAAGATCTTCGCCCGGAACCTCTCAATCAGACCGGCTCCGTTTTTCGTCTTCACCATCCAGTCGTCAATTTCCGCTTTTGTCAACATACGCGAATTGCCCCACCAAATATAGAGTACCCAGCCTTTTGTCGCGTAGGTTCGACAGACCCCCCGAGGTCCCGCAAGCGAACAACTTTTTTGGGTTTTTATCCTCGACGAGCACCTGTGCAACCCGGCGCACGCTGAAATTAACAAAACGTCGTTCAATGTTTGTCCTCGCGTAATGCAAATTAATTCTCTACTACAAAATAAAAGAAAGTGTACGGGCTGGTCCAAGCCTTCACAGATACTCCAAAATCAAACGCACTTCGTAACGTTTCTTGCCTGGAATGCCAACTGCAAACCCGGAGCTGATTTTTGGCATACGCCCTTTGGCACCTTACACGTATTGGCCGCACCACAGGTTTCTTTTACAAAATCGTCCAAGTAGCGTTTGTAATCCGGGAACTCCGCATCAGCGATAGCTTCCTCAAGAAAAATTTGATGGAAAAAGGAGCAGACCAGTCGTGTATGGTCCATTGCTTCGTGTAGCCCATCTCGCACCTCTTGATCGATTGGAAGCTCGGTATCAGCAACTGTTAGAGGGAAATATAGTTTTGGCCTGTCTGTGGATGTCTGTTCAGCTGTCACTCTCGAGGGGCTTTCCGTGTATAGAACGGCCTTACCGGAGCAGGTTTTAGAATTGCGATAAAATAAAAGTTTACAAATTTAAACCAGGGTTCACTCAATTTTGCGCGCCCCAGGAGGCTAATTTGAAATAGATAAGCTTCCTCATTATCGTGAGTTGCCTGCGCGCGTGTGGGCCTGGATGAGAGACGCCGAAGACCCCGTCGTTGGAAATGTCGAGTATCCAGGAGATGCGTATTCCAGCTACCCAGACCCGCGAAGCGGCGTTTGAGCACTGTTTGTTGAGATTTTGGTCATGCGCTTCAGAATTCCACGCAATTATTATAAAACCAAACGACATTTCAAAGCCTACTGCAGCAATCGTCGTCACCAACCTGCCACTGAAAATAGAATTGGCAGCAGCACGAAGTTAGCGCGCCAAAAGGCCATGGCGATCGTATTGTCGCGCAACCCGAAACGCTACTATATCGGCGTCTACCGTTTTTATTTGGGCAAAACGCGGCCAACCCAGACATTTTTTTCTCAAATAAAAAATACAGCGCTCATGCGTAAAGCCACAGGGTGTGTCAAAAAACGACCCTCCCTATATAGCGGGCCGCAGAAGTGTCCGATTTTGACGATTAAGGTATCTACCGAAAGCTCTTGGAAACGCGACGAAACAAGCACTCTTCACATTTTACCCTAGGCGCCTTGTGAATTCGAGGTCAAGGAATTCTGAACTTCGGAAAGCTCTATCTCGATCGCCCATTAATTCTTGCTCCCTAGGAGGGTGCACTCGAGATAGAATCCCGTCCCCTATCAGACCATATATCACAGCAAATTTAAAATTTTGTAATAGGGCTTATTTTCCGACTTGTTAGATAGACATTCGGATTTTGAGCCTGATGGATACTCGTATATCGGGGGTGGAGACCCAAGCTAGGGAAGTTTTTGAAAAGCCCGGAGGCTCGTAAGTCAGGAGCTGGAGAATAGCCGTTACCTCGAAGCAATTTATGAAAACAAGTTAAGGTATGCGGAAAATATTTACATGGCGGCATTCAGATGGCGCAGTTGCCGAGTTGACTTAATGAATAAAACAAGCTAACGTATGGCCTACATTCGTTCCCCATAAACACTCCGATCGGCCGCTCGCTTCCTTGCTGCATAAATGATCGGTTCACGATGCATTTCCACGACCGATGCTCCAACCATTCCAAATAACATTACTCTGGAGAAGAAGTGAAGAGACTTTTACCAATTTCACGGAGTTAATTGGTTAATGGTACAAAATATCTCACTCGTAAGGGTCGGGTCGTTCCCCGTCCTTGGGATCAGGAAATAAGGTCGTCCAGCAGTACCCTCTTGGCATAACCTGATAAATATTGAAAAGTAGACCTCGTGTTTACCTGGCCACCTGGACACTGAAAGTAGACGTAGATGTGGATCATCCGATTGGCATGGAGCCGGAAGGTCACCTTGCAGTTGTCTGAAAACTTAGAAAATATAGGTTGATGAAACGGAAAAAACGGGTTTTTACTGTCTGGGACTGGAAATGAGATTTTCAGAAGCCATCTAAGTTTGAAGTACTTATGCAAGTCCGGGTTAACAACACCTACATAAGCACGGCAGCGGCACCTCAGCTTCCTGTGAGCTTGAGTCCTTCGCGACGAGCGTGACGTTGATCTTTCGAGGAGATTTAAAAACTAGTTAGAACGTACTGGGAGTTGCCCATCGACGCATATCCACCCATCCCCGCGTAGCTAAACGGCGTTCAGTTTTACACAACCAATGGCTTTAGACCGCCAGATTATTCTTTCTAGAATTAAGATAAATTAAGAAATCGGTTAGTCTTGTGAAATCTTTTTGCTTTTTGGTACTGTGTAAGGTTTTTCCTGGATTTTGCAGAGCACAGACCGTAACGTTACGCAACGAAGGATCCTCGGCAGCTAGCAGTAAGGAAATGAGATGAAACAGGAAAAAGTGGATGAGGTACCTCATTTCAAATGCGAGCACATTGGCCGTGGGTCACGAAAAACAACTATTCCGCCAGCGAACCCCATGTGGAATAAATTTTGTTGCCTGTCAGGATCGGAATTTTTTCGAAAATTACTTCTACGTAATAAAAATAAACGAAAAAATTCAACGCAAAAGAAAGCGTGAACGTGCCACCTAAGCCGCTTTATCGGACAAAATTATCAAAACCAAATCAAACGTCATAAAAGCTCAAAAGAACAAGAGAAAATTGATGCACCACGTCGACTCCATAGAGCCCCTTTTGCGCGTGTCAAGCCATTCCAGCTTGCGGACGTGACCGCCAACTTGCGGGGCTGATATTCCCTGTTGATTGCATGGCATTTCCGCTTTGTCCACCCTGATGGCCCTCTGAAAAGTAGAAAATTTGAATGTTAGTGATATCGAAGATCAGGGCGTCGAAGACCAAATTCTCGAATGTTCTGAACCTAGAATTTCTAGAATCTGCAAATTTGCATAGTCTGAATCAACATTAAAGGGATAGGGGCGGCATAAGTCAATCGATTACGCGCGGGAAAGAAAATGTCTCTGCGCCTCTCCCCTGGGCGCCCTCTCTCGCCGCCGGTCGCGCTGGGACCTGTTGAACCCCCCTCCCCAAGGGGGTTCAACAGATGCCGTCCTCATCTCTTTAAGCGCGTATGAATTGCACACCTACGGCCTGGGTAATTTCGAAATTCTGAAACACGATATCCTGGCAATTCAAGACCATGAAATTCGGGATTCTGATTTTCGAGATCTGTTAGGTCAGTAAGACAGTAGCAAATCTCAAAAAAGGTGGGTTATTTGATTAGCACGAAAATGCAGTGAAGTGCAAAAAAGAAGGTCGTAAAGATTTCATCCCTCAAAAACGCCCAAAACATCATATTCCAAAAAACATTAACCACGATGTAGGCCGGCATGAAGTCGTCGGCAATGCCCATATCCATGTCCTTTTCAAATGGCCCGTTGTTGACAGGTCTGGAAAACGGCGCGTAACTTTGGATAAATCGTTAAAGAACAAACAGCCCTGTAGTACCATCACGAACCCTCCTTACCGCGCAAAGTTTTTCTCATGAAACTTGTCAAACAGTCCGTTTCCGTCTTGCGTCTTCTCGACCCAGTTGTTGATCTCCGAGGGTAGGCGCGAAGGACTTTTTCCCAGCTCGCCCCACCAAAACATCACCACGACGCATCCGACGCGATACGTGCGACACTGGTGGCCCGGGGCGCAAAATGTCGCAGTCCGAGCCTTCCTGTTTAAGTCGTCGGGGTAGAAGGTGTTGAGCACATGCGCGATGCGGCGAACCCTAAAAACGTGTTTTTTTGATGTCTACGAAGGTTGATCCATTCGTTAGCCTGCCGATTCCTAGCAAATAGCCGTCCAATGCCAGAACGCGGCCGTACGCGGCCGTTTGAGCCCCAGCCTAGGCTGGACGTGAAAACACGCACAATTTGAAATTCTGTTTTTTAGATGAGCGCCGTTTTCGCTGACCTGGGGGGCCTAGGGCCACGTAAAGTCTGACTTCTTAGCCCTTTAAAAAATTCTAGCTTCCTAAAACTACCTGATTTCCTTTTGCGCCTGAAATTGTTGCTGCAGCGCCAATCCCATTATTGGATTATGCTCAGCCGTGGTGCAATTCTTGCTATGGCCTATAGTGTAGCGATTGGCCATTATGTACGCGTCTAGGTATGCTGTGTATTCAGCAAATTCTGCATCGGCAATGGCAGGCTAAATTTTTGTCTTTTGGAAATGTTGCTGACCAAGTTTAAACTAGCATCTGCTGCTTTCAGATCAGCGTGGACTTTATTTTGTGGATATCGGTCGACAAGTTGTACAGGATCTTCTAAAAACTGCAGTTTGATTTTTCTCCTTTTCCGAAAAAAATCGTTAGGAAAGAATTAATTGCTCGAAATTAGCGAACCACCTGCCACGTTGATGGTCAGGAAAACCGGAAACAAGAAGATTAACAATACTAGCAGCATCGATCTGGTTTTGGCATAAAAAAAATTGCCTTTAACGCTGTAAAATGTTCAAAGTTTTTCCCAAATAAAATAGATTTACGTGCGATGGTGTGACCAGAATTTCCCAAAATCGGAAATATGAAAATACGATGAATCGACGTGTTGCAACGTCAAAATTTTAGAAAACGCATTTTGCGCCATCGGGATTTTGGACACCAGAGCTTTGGCTGTCGGGATTTTGAGTCGCGACATTTTAATAACTTGACGATTTTCAGCATTTTGGCATTATGCATAACCGGTTGTTGGTGTCGGGATTTCGAATTTCGGCATTTTGTCCGCTCCTTGGTCTGTATGAATGCAAATTTCGTTTTTCAGGCATTAAAAATCTTTCTAAACCTCAAAAGCCACGTAAAAGGCTTGTAACCACTAGTATTCGCAAAATTGAAATGTTGTTCGTCTCATTCTTGGTATTTACGTATTCTTAGATCAACTAATTGTTGTGTAATACCTCCATTAAAGGGATGCCCAACCTTTTCGCGGCTCAAAAAGCAAAAACCGTGCAGCGGGCGGGGGTCGAACCCGGGACCCCCGTTTTCTAGGCCTGGATGCTATCCATTAGGCCATAGTGGCAAGCCATTGGATGGGATGGGACGCCACAAGAGGGAAAGCTGGCCAAATGCTGTGCGGCATTGGGGGGCCCATTGCCGCACCAAATTCGAGCGTCATTTGTACTGCCCGGAATCCATAACTATATATTTGCCGCCAAAACCTTGGGTATCCCTTTAATACATCAATTTACTAGCCAACAGCCGTGTCACCGAGAGTGCATGGGGTAAGGCATATTTACAGAAAAATGGGCGGAAATGGGGGCAACAATTCGGGAATTCGATGTGCAGTTTTGGATACAATGGCAATAGCATAATTGTAGCGAGGTGTTGTGTTCAGTATTTCGTTGGAACTTTGGAAATTAAGGGAAATGGGGGCACCGGGAACATTTTGCGAACCGTACCAAATACAATCAGACAAAGGAACTTGAAAGAGGGGAAGAGGAAAATAGGAGGAACAAAGCACGGATATGATAGAAATAGGCAGGTTTTTGGTATTGAAAATAGAAGATTATCTTGCTTAAGGCTTTCTATATTTTCTTATCAAAAAAAGACCCAAAAATAAGCTGTTTTTGAGAAACAATTACTTTGCAATTCACTACGTTGCTCTTGAAAATTCATAAAAGATGAAACTTTTTCTGACAAAGACAGCAAAAATTTTTTTTCTCATTTTTCTTTTCAACAAGCTCAACCCCACCAAATTACAGTACCAAAAAACTGAGATATAGCACGCAGATTACAAAACATCGTAAGTATAAATCGACCAGCATCGCGGAATTTCAAAAATGGAACCAAAATTCGATAGCGCAAAAAATTGGCAAGACGCCAGAAATCTAAAAAATCGATAAAGTACAAGGTGAGACCATTAGGGAAAGCAATAATTATTGCCATACGGTAAGGGGAAGCCAATTTTAGTAGGGGGAGGGAACGATGTGGAACAAGTATTTTTTTGACCCGTTTTTAGTTAAAGTTGTAACGATAACATTATTGGGCTTATTGAAGTCTGTGGTTCAGGCGTTCCATGAACTTCTTGGCGACCTGGGGCCCGGGGAACGGCCAGTCCCACACGTTTTCTAAGGGACCATCCGGGACGTCACTTTCTAGCCAGTTGCACATCCAGAACCACCTGAAATTAGGATTTTAGGTTTTTGTCGACGACTTTACAGGGAGTGGGAAGCCTAAACCTAAGCTTAAGCCTAAGCCTAAAACTAAGCCGAAACTAAGCCGAAGCAGCCTAATCTAAGCCTCCTCCAAGCCTAAGCTAAGCCTAAGCCCAAGCCTTGCCTAAGTTTAAGCCTTAGAAAATCCTAATAAACCGTACCATAACCGGCTCATCGGGGCATGCGGGCGCTTCTCCTTGGGCAGCTCGAACATCTGGTGGTAGCCCCAGAAGACGTGCGACGTCAACCAGTACGCTATCAACACGTCCATCGTGTAGTGACCGCCTAGAAATGGATGAGCATCTACTAGGAAACGATACCTAGACCTCAAAACAATAATTCAACTTAGTACTCGTATAAAAACTGAGTCAATTACATACCTGACACCACCAGGGCGGCAATCCCCAAGAATGTGATGGGAGCCGCGATATACCTAAAATTTTTCTTTTTAGGGTTCGAGGAGGCTTGGGAAGCAGTTAGGCTCTAACGCCGACTTCTAGACGTTCAACGTACCTCAGAATGACGAGTCCCCGAGGGGTATACTGTAGCTGCACAAAGTACATAATCGTCAGCACCACGGTATGCCCGCTGAACATCAGATCTCCGCAGAGGATCTTGTCCTGCCCGGAGGTGAGCCCGAGCGTCACCACGTAGGTCAGAAATCTGGAAAAAAATGGAGATTGATTTTCTCGCTATAAAATTCATACCTCGTGGCAATTTCCATACCGCTCAACGCTGTTCGATTCACTTGCGGTTGGCAGATTTGGTCCCTGAAAGGAAAAAGTAGACCGTGGGTGAGCAAGAGGGCGGCAGGCAGAGAGTGAGAGAGAGAGTGAGCGAGAGAGATAAAGAGAGCAGGTGAGGGAGAGAGGGCGAGTGAGTGAGCGGGAGAATGAGATACCTACAAACCCATACCTATTATGAAAAGACGGTGGCAAGTAAGTGACGCCGAGAATCACCGCTCGCAGCCCGTACAATATTGCTCCGAGCACGAACATTCGTCGAAGAACGACGACTCGATCTCGGTGAAGCAACACTACGGTGAAAGCCATGACAGAACTAAAAAAATATATAGTTTCTAATGTATCTTATTAAAATATTGTAGATAACAAGCTTTTACAGTATTTTGCGGTAATTTACAGCTTTTCCCAAAATTCTATACCATAAAACCCGAAATTACATACCTTACTGTCGACAGCACATCCCCAAAAGACCAGGCCCACCGTTGCTGTGGTATTGCAAGGAATACAATATCCGGCAACGGTTCCCTGGGCACTATATCGTGTATCACTGTCAACAGGAAGAAGTTCATGAAAGCGGCTAGCTGAAAAACATACATAGTAAATTGGGGATTTGCGCTAAGGTTTACAAAACTAAATAAAAATAGGTTTAGATCGATTTCTAACGCTTACCGTTAAACACAAAAATGCGATGACGGTCTTCAGCCCTTCCGACCGCCCGCCTTCCATCTGAAATTTCTGAATTTACAGTAAATGGTCTTCAACGTATAGTTAAATCCAGATTTTTTCAATAATAAACACCTTCAGAATTGCAGAATTTTTCACAAAATAATTTAGAAGGATATTTCACGATTTTCAAGGGAGCGTCAAGGTATTATTTTCCGTGATTGGTAGAGCAGATTCTCGATTTTGAAAGCTATTTTCGAGCATCTCTTGGGGATTTAGATCGGGAGAAAGAGAGCGAGAGCATGAGAGAGCGGGATAGACGGATAGATGGAGAGATGAGAGAGAGAGAGCGAGAGAGAGAGAGAGAGGGAAAGAGAGCGAGAGAGTGAGATGGAGAGATGGCGCAATTCTCATCAAATCCCCTATTGACGATAAAGTATTCATAAGGAGGTATCAAAACAACGTTAAAAATTGTAGAAAACTACAGTAAAAAGCCCAGAACAGATGTAGCTTGATAAAACTTTTTCACTATAATTATTTGAGCAGAAAAATGACCAAAACCAAACCCTGAAAACTGGAGGATCACGCCCGCGCATCGAACGGTAACATTGGAATGGCCAATAAAATACGGCCACTATGAGAGGCGGTGAAAATAATATCGGGTGGGGAGGGTGGTCAGGCCAGGCGGGTCGATATTGCATTTTGGAATTTATTCGTGGGAAGCAGGATTTTTTGGCTTGTAATTTTTAAAAGCTAGTGACCGATTTTTGGAATGATAGAAAGAGTGCGAGAGAGCGAGAGAGAGAGAGAGAGCGAGAAAGAAAGAAAGAAAGAGAGAGAGAGAGAGCGAGAGAGAGAGAGAGTGAGAGAGAGAAAGCTTACTTGTTTCTCCATCCTATGCTCCGGATCGCTGGGGTCTATCGTAATGGAAATGCCACCCCCGTTCACCGCTACCATCGACGCCTCCGATGAGCTGGCGCGGACCTGGAATTAAGTGGGTATTCACAAAATAAAAAACAGGATTAAAACCAATTATAGATGTAGTATTTAATAGAATCATTTTTCAGAAGGATAGAATGATGAATCGGTTACGTACCGCTTAAGGCATCACTCATTTAGCCAAAACAATGTTTAATATTAATTCCATCTAGAATTAAGTAAATAAATACAACAATAGAAAATTACTTTTCTTATTGCTATGCAGTACGTGATTTGGATAATAGCAGAAATGTTATAACAATAAAGTATCACATTTTTCATCAACAACACGGCGATTTCCTCATATGGGGCGGGACGCCGGGAGGGGTCCGGCCCCCTGGGGGACCGGATGGTAAACAACTCGTGTATCTGCGCCCTACTATGCACTTTCCAAAGGCATAGGGATTTATTTCTGTGCCTTCGAAGTCTATGCGCTGCTGCACTCTTTACGCTACGCTTTGCTGTTATTTTCAAAAAGAATTTCAGAAGGTTAAAAAGAATTTTAAAAATCAAGAAATTTTCGTTTATTAATTTTCTATTTTTTGACGAATTTTGAGTTTGAATTTGCTAAGCAATTGTTATAGTAGAAATTAAGAATCGGCTTTTTGCTCTAAAAAAAGCAATAGCTAATACAAAAACTTTTCGTCCGTTTTTTTGCAACTTTAAACGATTTTAAAAACGCCAAAATCGAAAACCTCTCCATTTTTAGAAAGTTGCACAGGTTGCTGCTTTTTCATACGCGATATTAATATATAAATCTTGCAACACTAATTTTTATTTTTAATAGTAGCAATGCGGAACCAAATCTAAGAAATGCCGTCGAATGAATATGAAGGGATGAGGAGCGGGAACCGGAGCGCCATATAATATTCATTACGCGGCGGTTCAATACCGAAAAAATGCTGGAGCAGACCCATATTTTTGAGAATACGGGCCAAAATAAGGAGCATGAGGAAAGCTAAACGATAATCTAGAAAATAAAAGGAGAAGCAGCATCTGACTTTCGAAAATAAGCTGCCGCTCAAGTCAGAATTAACGTTAAAAAGCTGATTTTTCATAATTTATAAAAAGTAAATATGACTGAGCAAGATAAGGAGAATAAGTTTCGTTCAGCAATTTTCAAAAATCAAGGCTAATTGACATTTTTATATCACTCGAGAACTCGAGAGATCCAACTCCAACGTTTTTTTTTGTGAATTGTTATGAAAATGATATATTTTGAATGTATTAAGGTCTACAAAGAATCTGCATGTTGATCCTGAGCACGAACCTGTAGCTCCTGTGTGTCGGGGCCGCCGATAAAGTCGGCATCGGTCCGCAAGGGCATCGTGGAGTCGGACTGATCCCGGCGGTGGCCGCCCATCCGACCCTCTAAACAGGTCGGATCTTCATTTTGCCTCTTCCTCCGCCTCGCGCACGTACGGAAGGGAGAGAGAGAGACAGAGAACGCGAGAGAGAGAGAGGGTGAGAGAGAGCGCACGATACAGAGAGAGAAGCGCTGAGTATGAGATCGACTCCGGAAGGAAGGGCGAGAATGAGGACGTGAGCATGAGATCAGTAGTGAAGGATATAGTGAAAAAGAAAGAGAGAAGGAGAGATCTTCACATCATCCCCTCCTCTTCTTCCTCTTGCCAAAATCGCAGCTGATATCAATGCGAGCACGACAATTTGAGCGCGAGGATTTGCGCGGCGCGCGCGAGAGTGAAAATTGCTAATTCGTGGGATTTATGAGATGCGATTTAATGGGAAATGTAATTTAAAGGGGGGTTGGCAAGTCAATTTCCTTAGGTTTTTGCCGTTTTTAAGCTTTCACATCTATTTAGAGGATCATTAAAGGTATAAAAAATTTGAAAAAGATAAGTTTTTACAAAGTCACTTGTTCTAATCAATGCCCATCGCCGCTATGAAACTCGGCAATTCAGGCGGGCTGATTGCCGGCGCCGAATGGTGACCAAAAATATAAACAGTTTGCCGATTCACGCCGTTTTTTGCAGCACCAATTTGGCCATGACCAAAATGGGAGAGACGGGGCACAATATAGGAAATAATGGAACGAAATGTAGGACAAAAACTTTACTATACTTTCGCAAAAAGGCCAGAAAAGGTTTGGCACCCCGATAACACAAGGCTTTGGGGATCAATCGCTTGTGCCACAAAATTCTCAATGGCGAATTGGCTAACATGGAAGAAAATAGAGTAGGAATAGCAAAAAACTCAAAATTCGTTAAAAGGAAATTGAAAATGGATCGCACCATGAGATTGCAGCTGGAAAATTGCCAAAACAAAACCAAAATAGGCCAAGCACTAAAATTACGATAAAAAGACGAAAAATAGACAAATTACGACAAGTAATTCGAAACCATGATCCTTCAAAAATGAGATTAAAAAGATCCTTCAAACAACTAAATACATAGAATTTGAGAAAATTTATGTAATAAATTGCCATTTTCATGGAAAAACAGTCCAAACACAACCGATTACGACACGTAATTCGAAATTTGAACCACTAGAGTCGTGGTCTGATCCAATTTCTACCCCCCCCTTTCCATTCAAATGCTATGCGAAAACAGCCGGTTCTTTTTGTCCCCGTTTTCGGGGGGTTATGTGGTTTGGCTGCTGCGAAAAGAACAGATGTCAAAAACAACATCTGGTTCGAGTTTTGTTAAGGGAATGTAACGATTTTTGAAAATCAATATTTAGGTATCGATTTAATATTGATAACGGAGCATTTTACTACTAAGAAAAAGTTGAGGTTGAAACAAAAGCTCTTAATAATTTTCGAAATTGCTAATTCGAAACTTTCATGATGAAAAGAACACTTTTTAGTATTCAGAAAAGTGCCCAGTCCTTGGAATTTTTCCAAAAATTCCTCAACATTTTTGTTTACTCCCCCTGGATATCTTTTTCGGGTTTTTTAGGCGAAAAATGCGAGAAAATGACGCAGTTTTGGCTCGAGAGCCGGGGGGCTGGCTTGCAGAAAGCCGTTAGGATCATGTGACGGTCGAAGAAAGGTCGGCAAAATATTTTCACGTTTTTTAATTAATTTTCTAGGTAGTCCTAAGTAAAATATAGAAAACCGAAAATTAGTAAAAAGCATTAAAAACGGAATTCTTAGAAAAAAATTATATTAATGAAGAAAAGACGAGAAACAAACAAGTGAAATCTATGTAATAAAGAGAATAATTAGCTTCTCCTGAGTTTTTAATGCAACAATAAAGCGTCTAGTAACTAACAGAACCAATAGAATGCCCTAAGACTACGGGCGGGGCCTAAAAACACTGGAGTGCCGGCCATGTGTGTGATAAGGAGTCCAAAAAACATGGCCGCCCGCCGGTGGCTAATGAAATCGGCCGTGACCGGGACAGATGAGTCACCGGTGAGTTTTCACTACTGCTCCCGGAAAACAGCCGGAAGGGAAAGCGGTCCCTATCAATTATCCGGAACGGGTCGGAAGTGTAAGAGTATTTGGGCCGAAGTGACGGCTAATTAAGGGAGATCATAAATTTTTTAATTCTTAAAAAAATGGCTCTCTTTTGCGAAATGGGTAGCAATCAGCCGAAGTATGATTTTTAGGGTGGTAGGCTAGCAAAGTTCCTTGCGGAATCAATGACTAT